TCGTGTGCGGTGTATGGCTCTACGCCTTCATCGGGTATCGCAGGCTCGCTCAGCATGTGCGTGAGGCGGTCCACAATCCACTTCTGCACGTCCAATTGGTCCTGATCAGAGGTTCTGATCGGGCCAAAGGAGTCTGCGCGAATACTTGTTGACAGGAGGTTCATCAAAATCACAATGTCACCCAGTGGATGTGACGGGTGCAGCATAACGAGGATGAAAGAGATCCGAATGTTTTGCCAGAATGTTTCCATTGCACTTTTGATGTGCAATACTCCACAGGCGATTTGGTAAAGTAGATGCATGACCCCAGTTGAGTCGACAAGGGGCTGCAGATCTGATTGTGGTGTCTGTCGAGTAATCCGTTTATCTCGTGATGCCGGGGCATACTTGAAGCGAGGAACTGCATTCACTTCTACAGTATCTTGCAAGACCCCAACTAAAGGTGTGATCAGTTTGGAGAGTGGGACATCATCCGACATCAAACTATATTTTGTGATAGCTTCAAATCGAGGGATCGGCTCATAGAACTTCTCGTTGATAGCGCGCTGCCATAGCGATGCGATCATCTGTGTATATTCTAATACGTAGCTGCCCGGGTCGACGCGAGCCATGACCTCCATAATAATGCTGGACATGGATCGGTGCGGTTCCGAGGGAAAAGCAAGATTGGCCATGGCTTCGAAATCGGTTTTTTGGTTGGGATGCATACGGTGGCTCAAAAGTCGCATTATGGATCGCTGATTGCGACTCGCCTCCGCAGATTTGCGCTTTACCTCGTCGACTTCGGCCGGAGTATGAGTCGCATCAGTCATAGTTACCTCCCCAACAGCTGGATTCAGTTGTAGTGGCACAGGCCCATCTTGGCTTGATTGCCGTTTGCGCTTTCCTGGAACTGTTGGCGTGGCTCGCCTGGAGCGGGCTGCAGATTTGCTGGGCGATACCATGGCTATTTCATCATCGTCAAATCCATCGCGGAAGGGAAGCACTCGGGACTTTCGAGGAGTCACTGGGGCTTCCATCTCGCGATGCTTGGATTTGTAGTTCCGAAGCTGGTAGGCTTCATCCACGAGGTCTTGTTGAAGAAATACATTCTCCGTCGCCAGTACCTTGCCTTCGGACATGAACGCCTCAACTTCTTGCTTGTGCTTCGCCTTTTGGTCCGCCATAGATTTCCTCAGAGTTGTTAGTTGCCGGTCATATTCTTGTGTCATCGTTGTCTGCTTCCTTCGAATGATCGAGATTTCCCCGGCTTTTGTTTCTACTTGCATCCTCGCTTCGGCTAGCTCCTGTAATATTTGTTCTCTTTCTTGCTCCATCTAAAATTTATTTGTTAGAGATTATAAGAATAAGCTTTCAACTGACTCACCTGCACTAGACGTGTATTGATCTCCGCAGCGGCATTCCCTTGCCCATAGTCCTCATCCACGTCCATGGAGTCGGCCAGCTGCCTGTTGACCGCAAAGCTAGGATCCATGGCGAGCACATGTTGGCCATGTGGAATAATATGCGGCTTATCGACATTGTCGTATACCTCGGCCTCCAATTCTCCCACCTCCAGTGTGTTATAGTCGTTCGTCAATCCAGTTTGTAGGCGAGGTGGCGGTCTCAGCGATCCAACATTGTTATTTAATGACACTGCCTGAGCATGTAGCACGGGGTTGCTGTTTATGGGGTTTGAGTGGTACTGTGAGGCTGACGCCTGGGTTGCTTGGAACGCATTCTGTTCCAGCTCATACAACGTCCCTAGTGGCAGGGAGTCAAACTCGTCGGAGCCGTAGTCGTCGTCGTCGTCTTCCATGCCCCGGCCATGAATGAACTACCAGAGGGAGTTGACGCGGTCTAAGTTCACGGAGGGCTTTCGATCATTCTCGGGTTTGAGTGGTTCCGAGGGTTGAAGAGGGAGAGAGTTCAAGGCACCTGGACAGCAACCCTGCACATCCAATTTCAATTTCTAGTCACGAACATAATATTTGAATGTCAAATAATGATTGTTTCAATTAATAAAATCGAATAATACATCAAGTATAGAAACAAGCCCAAAAAAAAAAAAACGAAAGAAAAAAAGAAAGAAAGTAAACACGGGCCTGAAGCTGAAGCTGACCGCTTTCGGTGGCATTTCACATGAGCTCATCAACTTCTAATGCCGATGATCCCTCTCGCTCTCTGCAATCTCCACTTCTGTTGCCCAGATTCTGTTTCTGGCCCCTTTCCCACCATCATGTCGAAATCTCGCCGTAATGTTAGGTTTCAACACCGTTCAAATGATGAGCGACGCCTCAGCGTGTCCTCCGACGTCAGTGATGCACATTCGGAGCCCACTAGCCCCAGCAAAAATGGCAACGCGTCCAAACCATCTACAATAACTGAAGAGGTTGGTTTTCAGTGGAGTACGATCTCGGAATCTGGGTCTGACATGTTCTTCACTCCTAGAATCCGCCCCAGTCCGAATATGAGAAGAAGAAGCAGACCTTCATCACCCGGACAATATGGACTTTTGTGATGATTGCCGGTTTCTTCGTCGCCTTGTTCTCCGGTCACATTTATATTATTGTCCTAATTACTGGCATCCAAATCATATCATTCAAGGAAGTCATCGCCATCGCCAGTATCCCCAATAAGGAGAAGAACTTGCGGTTTACCAAATCGCTGAACTGGTACTTCCTGGCGACCACTATGTATTTCCTGTACGGAGAGAGCGTGATCTACTACTTTAAGCACATCCTACTCGTTGACAAGGTGCTGCTTCCGTTGGCGAACCACCACCGCTTCATCAGCTTCACACTTTACGTAATGGGTAAGTGTCTCGACCGATGCCCCTTTACTCTGCTAATCCCCATTGGTAGGATTCGTGTTCTTCGTCGGATCCCTGCAGAAGGGCCACTATCGATTCCAGTTCACACAGTTTGCTTGGACCCATATGGCTTTGTATTTGATTGTTGTCCAAGCTCACTTTGTCATGAACAACATTTTTGAGGGCATGATCTGGTTCTTCCTCCCCGCTGCGCTGGTCATCACCAACGATATCTTCGCCTACGTCTGTGGTATCAGCTTTGGAAAGACACAACTTATTCAGCTCTCACCGAAGAAGACTGTCGAGGGATTCCTTGGCGCATGGATCTGCACCGTCGGCTTTGGTTATTTCATGACCAACTTGCTGATCCGCTACAAGTACTTCATCTGTCCTGTTAATGACTTGGGCTCGAATGCTTTGACCGGTCTGGAATGTGATCCGAACCCAGTCTTCACGTCGCAACCTTACTCTCTTGAAATCTTTGGCCTGGACAAGACCTTCTGGGTCGCACCCATTCAGTTCCATATCTTGGCCTTCGCAACTTTCGCTTCGCTGATCGCTCCGTTCGGTGGTTTCTTTGCCTCTGGTCTGAAGCGCACCTTCAAGATCAAGGACTTTGGCGAGTCCATTCCTGGCCACGGTGGTATCACTGACCGCATGGACTGCCAGTTCATCATGGGCTTCTTCTCTTTCATGTACTACCACAGCTTCATTGCTGTCTACAAGGCCAGCGTGGGCGATATTATCGAGACCGCCATCAACGGTCTTACAGTTGATGAGCAGCTCGATGTTGTCCGTGGCTTGGGCAAGTACTTGTACAACCAGGGCGCCGTCTCAGAATCGGTATGTTTCCTTCAAACAATTACCACGATTATATTACTAATATCTCCCAGATCCTGGAGTGCCTTCTCACCGAGCTCAAGCGTCGATGAACCTAAAAAAATTTGTCCGGCATTCAGATCAACACCACCCAAATTTATGACACTCATCTTTCACTTTCAATCCCGCCATTTGAGGACGACCTTTCAACCCCGCGCTTCACCCCTTGCAACTCTCCTCCAATTGCTTCTGCTGTGCCGACTACCCCATCTTCTTGCTTGTTGCCTTATTCGGGAATTGATTTGGCTTCATTGAATATGCATGCAAGCCTTAATGTGTGCATGCATGATATGTACATACATGCGCCCCGCTCGCCTTACCCGCCTTTCAACACGGCATCCCCAACAAAGTGACCTGTGGCAAGGGCTCTAATGAACCGGCGTGAAGACTGAAAATCTTCCATGTCGGAGGCGGCACGGGGACACCTTTTTTTTCTCTTCATTTACGGTTGTTTCCCTGTACTTTTGCTTAGTACTATTTTTTTCCCCTCTTCTCTTCTCTTCTCCTTCTGATTGATGCCGGGCCCTGGGCTGAACTCAAATTTGATGACTTGTGTTGCTCGGTCCATTCTGACCTGGAGCTCTGCTATACTCCCGATGCGTGAAACAGACACATCCCTCCACAGAAGTGGTAGAAGAAGGGGGGGGGTGGTGGGAGCATGCCTATGTGTTTGCTCTGGCAGTCTTGTCTCTAGCTTCGCTGTTTTGTGAACAGAACGGACTGTAGATTTGTACATAGCTTTCAATCCAAATTTTGAAACTGATTTTAGATTCTCTTTCTCTCCATATGTTTCTTGAAAATGAGTTTGTAGGTACAGCAACTATCGTGTTATCCTACAATGGGAGATCAATTATCGATAGTTGATGGTTGTTTTCATGGTATCTAGGTGTCTATCGATATTCATCGCTGGTCATAGATGTCTGGGGTATCGGGAAATCGTGGGAAATATGGATCAAGATGGGAAATTTTCAGAACGTGAGTCTTTGGTGTTCGAGACAACTCAGTTCCGAAACCGTAAAGCAAGAAGCCTAGTGTTTCGCCCATCTGTCCAGAAAGATGCGGACAAGGGTCTTCTCAGAGCCTAGCAAGGACGTCGGCGTATCCCAACAAGAATCAGGATGAACGGCCGATAGCGAGTTATTGTGACCGGAGTATTGTTCCGTTGAAACTAGAATGGGGTATAGTATGTAGGGGTTCCCCATCTCAGCTCATTACCGAATCCGCTATCATATTATCGGTCCACAGAAACCAAGTAAGGCCTTCTCTCGGCTTCACTTTGCTCCATGGGGCACAAACAGGTGCCAGGAATGTAAATAGCAAGAACTATCTCTTACCCATCGACTTCATATTCTTCCATTTCAACTTTGAAGTACGCTGCGACCTGTCGCCTCTCCTCATCCGCGCATGCAGGATCGAGCATGAATCGCACGGCGGCATCGCGGCCTCGCTCGCCTGTCCTCTGGCGGTCTCCGTTCGCGGCAATTGGTGTTAAGGGATGAGCAGGTTGTGAAACATCTTGGTTGTTGATGGCAGTGCCGTTAGATGGTTTGTGTAGCTGGCTGATCCATGGGTGGTAGCGCGGGATGTGGTGTTCGCTAGCTTCTTGGTTGAGCGGGATGCGGACGGTTAGGAACCGGTCTGCTGGGAATTCCAAGCCGACGGCGGTTTGTGGGCGGTGGTGGGTGTAAAGTTCTAGGAGGTCGAAGAGAGTTTCTGGGAGTTGTTAATATTTGGCGCTTTCTAGGTGAATGTGGATGCAGCTGCATTACTTACCCATGATTTCTGCTCGGCTGGTGCTCCACTGCGCATAGTCTAGCCCGGACTCCACTTGTTCGACGCGCTGGTCCAAGAGTCGTCCTGCAAGCTCAAGGCAGCTAAAGGCCATCGTCGATGAATTTTGCTTGATGGGTGCAAATGTACGGTAAAGATCCGACGAAATGCGGTATGCAAGATTGGAGACTTCGGAGTTTTGTAATAAGCCATAATGCCGACCTAGCTTCATGAGGGTCTTCTGGGGATGCCGGGTTCGAAAGTCAAACCCAGAAGCCTCTAACATGAGTCGCTCGAGACCGATGATACCACGCGCATTTGCTTCAAACATCTAGCGACAAGCGTTAATCTTCTGTCTTGTCTCACCTGGCATCATGACTTACAGGATCATCAGCCGATAGGTGCTCTGAGGGCGCCAGTTTCAAGTTGTACGCTGCGCAGAGAATATCTCGTGACTTTTTGAGCGTATCTTCAATCTTGCAGGCTGTGAATAAAGCCGCAGCCGCAGCATCCTGTATCCCAGGTTAGGCTGATCTCCTTGAGGTATTTCCGAGAGAACTTGCTGTGAAATTATAGTCATTGTCTGGGTGCACTAATCGAAATCGGTGATAATATCCCACTGCTGTATCGAAAGTGCGGATGGGACTAGATTTCCGGTCAGTCCTCATGCATTTCGCCTAGCTTAGAGTCCACTTACAGGTTGAGGGCTCTGCGCACACTGTCGATCCACGCCACGCCTTGAAGACGCAATGAGGTTTCGCGAAGGGGGTTAACGCTCATTACCTGGATGCAGTTTTCGATTGTCTGTTCGAATATGTATGGATTGGCCACCTGTATAAAAGACGGGTGGATGGCCGGAGTTGACAGGCTGGGTTCCAGCGTTGAGCCTCCTTGGGGAGGCTCGCTCCTCATGTTGCGTGCCATGGCGTTTTCTTGGATTCCCTAAGAATATGGCAATAAGCAATGTCTTTGGTAGTTACAAGATAAAGACGCGCAGTGACTGGATTGATATCGCGATCACGTGTCTGCCTGAGAGCTCTAAATCACGTGTAAGCTCGACGGAAATGTATTATTCCGTGGTCCGAAGCATCTGTATGCTGTATCTGTGTTTTATTTCCTAAAGACGGATGCTCAATTATTACTTGATTTTGATAGAGATACATGAATAGCAGGATACTATATATCTCATGAATTTCTCAAGGAACCCCCCGACCAGCCCTTGTTGCCTTAGCCAACTCACTTTGAAGTTTGAGCTGTATTATCCGCGTATCGCTTGTAGGTGGGGAGGTATGTAATGTGCAATATCGCTGGTAGATTCGTCTGCTCTCAACAGCAGCCAGCCAAGTCCTCCACCGATTCCAAATTCCCCCATCAGGACCGCCTTGCCCCCTTGCCCTCCCTTCGGAATCCCCAGTCCACCCCCTTTTAAACTCATCAAACACCCATAGTCGTATCGCGCACGGAGCCAGCACCAGAACGGGCAGACTAATATCCTCACTAAGGAAGAAAGGTCCATCGGTATGCATCTCTTGAGTCCAGGCTTTCAGGTGATTCAAAAACTCTTGCCGAACCTGATCCAACTCTACTTTGTACATCTGTGTTCTGCGCACTACCATCTGTAGGCTGGTACTGAAAGAAACGGTGGAAAGATGGGATTATTCGAGATCTTACATAGTCAATCCAGATGCATGGGTGGGCATGCTCGTAGGCATCCTCTGGCAGAAAGTGGGGTTGGTGGTCTGGGTATGCTTCTTCCAGATACTCCAGGATCACAGTGGATTCGGTCAGTGGCAGTGGATGTGGATCTGCCGGTGTTGAAAGTGTAGGAGGGACTAGGCCTTGGGGATTTAGTGTGAGCAGTGACTCTGGCTTGTTGTATGGGTTAACGTCGATATATTCGTATGGGATCCTTTTCTCCTCAAAGGCGAGCCAGACTCGTTGCACTTTGTTTTGCTAGTACCCCTACTTATAAACAAGTGGATTAAGACACACCAAAGCTAGATGTATGTTTAGCAGTCGTTTTGGTTTAACTATAGAAGGGTCGTTAAATACGGACAGAATCACCCCGCATACAACTTTAATAGCTATTTAGATGAAAGGGAGAAGAGACTAGGGTTGGACAAGTCGTAGATATTAGTGTGACATCATTTCCTAAGCGCATTCGCGATCAAACAGTGTCTCTGGTGAGATATTGCTTGAAATTCAAAGAGATGTAATTAAAAATAAATAGGAAGTCTTGCAAAACTATAAGAGTCTAGTCTTTTCCATACTTCCTGATTAACTTCTGCATAATCGACATAGCACCAGGTCGATACCCTGCACCAAATATGACATGATGGTTCATATGATGGTACCTGTTTTTATTATAATCATTAAAATTGACCAATAGCAAGAGAAGGAAAAAAAAAAAAATTCACAATTCATACAATTCAACCCGATCAGCATACTCTGCCACAGGCTCAGTCTTCGGTATAATCAGATGGTACTGATCAAAGAACCGAGCCCCAAACCCACCAAACATATGCATAATACCAAGTTCGAACTCACTATGTCCATAGCAAGCCGATGGGTCATACACCACATCACCAGGCGTCTCATCACGACCCGAACCAACAATCCTACCCCAATCAGCATTCCCACTCCACAAATCCCCATGAACGATAACAGGCACAATTCCCTCCCCGTCACCACTAGAAGTATACCCTAAATGACCATCCCCAAGCAACCGAGGTACAACCTTATGCGCCGTGTTCTCAACTGCCTCGCGCAGCCCAGCATCGGGGCCATTGCGCTCTTCAGATGTCGTTAGGATCATAAGCAGCCGTTCATTCGCATAGAACTCAGCCCAGCTATCACAGAACCGGTTCGGCTGTTTGGTATCGCCGCAGAAGGTCGGGACGGGGAATCCGAATCTGCGCCGGCCAGTGGCCGGGTCTGGGGATGCGGGCGTGGTATGCAGTTTTCCGAGGCGGCGCGCGAGCGTGGCTTCATCGCCCGTGCTACGTCCCATTTTTCTACCTATATCAAGGAACTCTGTTGCAAGGAAGTGTGTTTTGGCCTTTGTCCCGGGCTCGTCGAGTGGTCCCCGAGCTAGGGCTTGCGGGCAGAACCCTGGCACTGAGGCTGCTATCGCGTTGAGGGACTCGGCTTCGCCTTGGAACATTTCTTCTGCAGATTTACCGTTTGAGGAAGTTTTTATGAAGTAGCGTCGCTCTTCTTCCGTTCCATTTTTGCCGGGGATCTTGGCGTGGATGGTGCCTGTGCTTGTGAAGCCTGAGCCTAGTCCAGATGTTGAGAGGCTGACTTTTGATTCGGATGGGAGTGAGAGGGCTTGAAGGATGGGTTCTGGAACTGGAGACATTGCTGTTAGATTTTTTGGTGTTAGAAAGAGTAAACCTATTGTTAAATATTTGACTGCGGAGTAGAGACTTCCTAAATAGACCGGATTGCTTGGAAGGGTTATGACGTTTGTCTCCACCTCGATAAGGGCTCTTATCACCAACAGCATAGTACTACTAGTACAACCTTAGGATATAGTAGGCTCTGACTATTTGACCCGGTGAGAAGTGGGAAAGGGATGTTTTTATAGAACTAGGTACTGTGGTTGCGGTGTAAAGCCTTGGGAGAAAAGTTAAAATGCTGAGGGTATATGGAATGCTCCTAGCCCTACTTGGAGACAAGAGGAGAAAAGCTCACAGCTTTCAGGCACACATTCACGACTTTTAATAGATTCTATGTAGCTTCATTTACTATGAGTACGTCACAATAAGAGAGCAAAATAAGAATTGTCCACATTTTCCTTCTGTACTCCAATCCGTCCAGAAATATCCACGCGTGACTCTGACTATGACAAAGATATCAACTATGCAGGAGACAATTTGTTCAACAAATGTAGCGCAGTCTTCGTACGCTCCCTCGTGTCTAGCTCCGTGTCATCCTCGAGGCTAGCCAGCCGCTCCGCAAAACCAAGAGAACGAAGTCTCACTGCCCGCTCCCGACAACCTTCATGATCGCTCTGATCTTCTTCGTAGATGAGGTTAATTACTACCCAGACACAGATTGACCGAATTTCTTTATGAGAATGATTGAAATAATTGCCTAGAGACCGCAGCAAGTCACGGTGGAATGCTATGATGCGCCGGTGGCGTGGGTGTCCGGCTGCCAAGTGGATGATGAGAGCGGCGGCTGCGCTGATGATTTCATTAGGGATGTGGAGAGACTGACTGTTGGAGTCCCGGCGGTGAGGCAGTTGAATGGTACGTGGTCGCAATGTATCTGCGATCGTATCGAGGAAATCATTTTGACCGAGCTCTCTGAAGAGATATTCAATCATCTCAGGTGCATCCCGACCACAAATCATGTTGCGCAGTAAATCGAATGTCTGCTCCTGGACGGCAATATCATCCTGTCGAGACTGTGTGGTTTGAGCCAGTGTTCCGTGCAGAACGAGTTTGCGTCTACGTCTTGCATCAGGAAGGAACATGTCCAGACTCATTTTGGAGGTAGGCATGGTATCGGTCATCTTAAGGTCCTCGTCCCACTCCGCTGTATCATTCATAGGGTTTAGGATATCGACCTGTTCACCAGCCGAGTTCGATCGACCCATGGCAAACCCGGCACTTTGATCTGTCTCTTCTTCTATCCCCCGTCGAGCCACTGCGCGGACCGGATCCTGGGAGATAACTTCCATAATCCATTCAGAGCCCAAAGTCTCGATGATGTTCATTCTGATGTCATTTGCGGTGTCATAAACCACGTGCTTAAGAGCCCAGAGCGATTCAATCTGTAACTTGGTGTTGGATGAATGAGCGTGTTCACAGAGGATGGGGATGATGTTGTGGGAAATGATTGCCTGAGAAAATCATGTTAGCTGCAAAATTTATGAACAAAATATAGACATCGACAAACCTCTTTCATGGGACTGAAATCCAAAGCCAAGTTACAGATCGCAGCCGTTGCTGCAATTTGCACCTCGAGGTCAGAATGGCGAAGAAGAGCAAATAGTGGCTTAGCCACGCCGGCATCAATAAGACTAGTTCTCAACACACTCACGGATCTGGTCAGCATCCGAGCTGTACCACAAGCAGCCAGAATTGTCGGAATCGGATTGCCATCTTCTGCGGTATTTCTGGGCATCGCAGCATCAGCCAGTGCATCAGTAGGTCTTGGCTTGAGGGCGTCAATGATGTAAGGGACTACACCATGCTCGCAAATCGCCTTGCGGTACTCATCCTTGAATGGGACGAGTGCTGCTAAGGCCTTGAGAATGTTCTCTCGGTAGCGCATTACATGGCAATGGGTCGGAGAGTAACCGGAAGGCCCGAGCCGGCGCTCTTGTGGAAGAGATTCAAGGTCCCTAACTGGGCCATCCTCTGCATGCCACATCGGCCGGGATGTCTCTGTGATTGGGTTGTAAGTCTCCTTGAGAAGTTGTGAAAGTCTCTTAAGCGCATTGCCTTCTACTGCATGTCTCTGCAGCTCCTGGTCGTCCATGACTAAGTTAGCTAGTACGGCAGGTGCCTCTTCTTTTAAGCGTAGGGTTGACGGAAGCAGGCCATCATAGATAGCACCTTCTTCATCCGGCAGTCGGACGTTCTTGTCAAGCATACGAATCAAGATGGGAATCAACAAATAACTGAACATTGGGACGCGATGTTTCTTCGCCAATCCTAACCGAAAGAGGGCTGTGACAAGACGTGCAGACATCAACCGTGTCATGCCATTCTCCGAGCGAAGAATGCAGAGCAACCATGGAACAATCGGATTCTCGTCGTCTTCTGGGACAGGCGTCTCAGCCAGTGAAAAAGGCGTGGGGTAAGAATGGCTGTGTCGGCGCTGTGAGCCCCCATGTCCCAAAGGTGGGAAATTGGCAGAACTGGATGATGATTTTGTGTGTGCTAGAGGAACCGATGGCAAAAGCTGTTCTATGGGGTTGGCGCCAAGATGACGGGGCACTGCGGAGCCCGACAGATATGTGGATCCCCACGGACCTTTCTTAATATCTGATGGAGCGAACCCAGAGATTGGTTTTGGGAATACCGTCACAATGCCAGGCGATGATAGGAAGTGTTCTGCCCTCCATTTGGACTGTTCAATGATGACAGCAACTGCGCGCAGAATTGGTGCTAGTTGGGCGGATTCGGGGGCTGGAAGTGGCAGATCCTCCAATGCGCCAGGTTCTTGAAGGCGATCCTCCGCGCCAGGCAAAACAAATCCCTTGGCTACAACAAAGGAGGCAATCTTGAGCGCCAAAGCATCCAACACCCCGGATTCTGCTAGTGTCGTCTTGTGAGTTTCCTCCGTGCATAGCTTGCCGATCAGGGCGGCTGCTAACTCGATTGTGGCCTGGCTGCGCAGACCCTTGTACTCCCACGAGACTATACGTCTAAGAGAGGTAATATTTGCAGGAGAAAAAACAAGATCCGCAAGCTGTGTGTTCCGGGGCCATTGTTCCTGGCTTTGTAGCGGTAGCCGGTCTGCAATTGTGTTCAGGAGTCGTAGAATGGGAAGACAGAATGGATCTGGGCAGTCTGGGGACGAAAATATTGAAAGTAAGGTTTGTGGGATATTGCTGGCGAATAGTGGGGTGAGAAACGTCGGGCCACCTGCTCAGTATAGTCAATGTCTGCCTTGGAAGGCTTAGAGATAGGATCTGATCTTTACGTACCTTGTGCCAAGCTCCCAACAATTAAAGTTGCCTGAAGACATACTTCGTAATCTTCTGAGGCTTTTGGCGTGGACCGAACTGGGTGCAATATCGATTCATTAAACTCCGCCGTTCCCGGCCATCTCGATGTCAGCACCTGTGCCAAAGCTGGTATGATTCCCTCGAGGACGTAGATCTCCTTGCGTTGATCATGTCCAATCAGTTCATTCTTCAAGGTGCGCAAAGCTGTAATCTGAGAGGAGGCCGATTCAGCGCTCTGTAGCTGCTGCAGAATCGGAGGTGCGGCAGCTCGCGTCATCGTCTGGCGATCACCCCCTCCCAGCGGGGGGTTCTCGGCGTTTCACTTTGTTTATTGAGTTAAAAAAATTGTTAGAGATACTAGAACGATATTGAGGAAATTATCTCCGTCAATGAGAAGGTTGTGTAGATCTGGATTTACATACGGAGGAGATATGATGGCAAACCGGAACTGTAGACCCGGGCCTAGAGGTACTCCGCACTTCGGTTCTGCCGAAACACACCGTTCTCGCGAAAAGTGGCGCCGGATTAATGAAAGAGCGGCACTCGCCTTACAAAGTAGGTATGTATGTATACTACATAGGTAGTATGTACTATTATGGCTATATAAATATTTGTATACACTTTCTTACTGAAGTTGGATATGCCAATTGCTTCTATAAGGGATCTACGAGTATAGAAAAGCCATTGTCGAATGTCACGGGGACAGTATCTGGAGTCTAACGTCACATATTGGCATACCTACATAGGTAGTTTCCACGATTTTTTTTTATTTTGAGGAAGACAGAGGAGGGTATCAGAAATGGATGAATATCAATCGATGTTTGCCTACGAAGTACACATGTAGACTATATAAAGTCTTGATTGTTGATATCAATCCTTCACGATCTAATATATGGGCGCCAGTACTACAGCAAACCCAGTATACTGCTAATCTGTGTTTAGGGAATTAAATAATTCAACATTGCAAGGGCAACTATTTAAAACCAATTATTAACCATATGCATATGTAGAACTCCCACCATACATATGTTGTATGTTGTACTACTACTACTCCGTACAAACAAGTTATATACTACTTGGATTTTTGGCATTTTAACCTAATCCGGCTAGGGTACGGCAGTTTACCCCCGCTTTTCCGGCTCTCGATCTGGAGAGTAACGGAGTCAAAAGAGTATGTATAGAGTAATCCAAGTATTACATATATATATGTTCCCATAAAATTAAAAAAATTAAAGGATTGATATGAGTTGATTTGGTGGAATCTATACTCCGTAGATGGTATCTCTTTGATAACATTCCAAGGTTATTATCTCTGTTTGGTCATATTATATGTAAAATGTAAGATACTCATTTCCACTGTTAATTAAAGGAAATGGAGCACTATATACATATAGCATTCACGACTGAACAGACAATTTAGAGATACCATTTTTCTTCTCTTTTTTTTTTTAATCTAATATCAACCCTAAGAGTTCAATATATCTCTATTTAGATTTACTATTATAATAATATATATAACTAGTTAGTTTTACTATGTACATGGTACATATTAGTACATATAGTAATATATATGTACGGGGTAATAAAAATTAAAAATTTGCTGGAAAAAAATTAAAAAATACCCATACTGTATGGTATAGTCACCGGAAGCAACCCAGCCACTGACAGCATAGATGGAATTACCTCACCAAAGAAATGACAACCCTGGAAGATTTTTAACTGGGCTTTTGCCCCCCGGTTCTGTTTCTCTTTGTTCAAGGTCGGAATTATTCCCAGACCTCTTTCTTTTTTTACTCTTAAATATTGAACTATTATAACCTTTACATCCATTTTGTTTTCCTCTAAACCTTTTAAGCCCTCTGAGGATGAGGCTGGCCGTGCACCCACATCCACAGCGCGCCCTGACTGTGCGCCCACGTGGTCTCACCTTGCACTGTGAATGCTCAGATTCCTAGCATTCCTTAATAACCTAATCACCTAAAAACCATGTTGGCGTCTTCGCCTTCGCCTTCAACGGCCGCATTGCGTTCCCCACTTCCTTCAACTTCGGGGTCGCATTCTCATTCTCACTATGAAACTACTGGCGCTCCACAATTCAATAGTCCTCGATCCTCGCGTCTGGCCATTGACGAACTTCGTTCAGCCTTGAATCGACATACTGTCGATCCTTCCTCTCCTGAAACTTCAGGGGATCTTCAACGCAGGCGTGCATCTACATCCGACACTTTGAAGACCCTGGTTAATAATTCGGCCTTGGCTTCAACACCCCAATCGGCCACTTCTTCCGCTGTGCCTGCAACCACCCCGGCGACTGCCACATCTACAAATCCACCGGCTTCCTCCCCCGCCCCCTCGATGCCCGCCCCTACCCCGGGTTCCAACAAACGTAACAGCCAACGCGACCATCACTCATCGGATGCGACGCCGGCGAAGTACGATGGTGAAGATTTGGAGAGATCACAGTCCAAGCGCCTGCGACCTTCAAAACCAGATGTCAAGCTGTTACCCTCGCAATATGAACAGGCTGACCCTCGTGACATGGTCGTGCTGATCTCCAGCATGCTCATGGAGCTGATCCGATTCAACGACAAAATCCCACTACATCAGGGCCGTCTGACTCGCTTCCACTCGCGCTCTCCACCCCGAATCTCCGTGCAAGATTACCTACAACGCTTGACAACCCACGCTACTCTCTCACCCCCTATTCTCCTCAGTATGGTCTACTACATCGATCGACTCTGCGCTCTGTACCCCGCATTCACCGTTTCCAGTCTGACCATACATCGATTCCTGATCACCAGCGCCACAGTTGCCAGCAAGGGACTTAGCGACAGTTTTTGGACCAACAAGACGTATGCTCGAGTGGGTGGAATCGGCATGACGGAATTAGCCATGCTCGAACTAGATTTCTTGTTCCGAGTCGAATGGCGCATTGTTCCACAACCAGAAGTGCTGGTAGACTATTATCAGAGCCTTGTCGATCGATGCGACGGGTTTGAAATCGAAGGCATCTGCCAGAATGGCAGTGCTAAAGCCGGAGTAACCGGTATTGCTCCAGCAGCCGGTCCTGTTTCAACATGAAGCTGGACCAGTACCCCCAAATTTACGCCGCCGATGCGAAATCTGCACAAATTACGTTCTGCCCTGGACCACTCGGGCCGGTCTCGAGTCAGCCATGGATGAGTGGATTCTGCTGTCTGTCACCCGCCAAGTCACTGGCGGTGTGATATAATACATACCACTTGCATTAGGGGGGAGTGATGGTGTCAAATCTCGATGCACCATTGCTTTTGATCTAATATCGAGGAGCATGGGCATCAGGCATGGCGCCTTAGAACAGGGATCTCTCAGCATATACCAAAAAAAGGTCGAAGGGCAATGCCTTGCTCCTACTTTTCAGCGATTTTCTTTACAGGGCATTCGGCGTTTCATGTCTGGGATGATGAGAGGTGATATCTATGATCAAATCACCTATCATTTTGACTGTTTTTTTTTTTTTTTTTTTTTTTTTTAGAACCATACAAATCTCAAATATCCACTCATAATCTGATCACTTGCAATTGTAGATGTTCCTCGTTTCATATAGGTACTATGTATCTATCGACTTCTTATTCCTATATACTGTAGGGCTGAGGGGACGCGATGTGCAGATGGAGCAACTGCTATGGCTATCCTAATATATTTGATCAAGAATGGCTGTCCATTCGGAAAGTAACTCCCCATTCACACCTCCCCGTGCGTGAAGAATCTGAAACCACTCAAAATGGCCTAGCGGCAAATCCGTGGGACAAAATTTGCACTGTTTGTTTCCCAAGTTTGTATAGCTTTCTTTTCTTCAAGTCCTCATGTGAATACTTCTAAGCTTTCTCTTCTTTTTAAACTCGACATCGGCAATTGAAGTTAAGCGCAATCCCAACGCATTTTTATTTATACACATTTGTAGGCTATGCCATTGGCTATACATGGTCGACCTACCTTGACACACTCACACACTCTATTTCACCCCGCGCATAACTGGCTGCGCCATTTGAAATGGCTAGAATGGACGTCGAAAAGACAATCAGAGACCTCAAACCTCTCATTGGGCAAGTAGTCCCCATTCGGACTATGCAAGAGACAAGGCCCCTAGAAGAATTCGGTATGACCTACAATATCGCGCTCTTCTCGCGATATCATGATTAACCAAGAAACAGGTGATGCCTTTGTCGCCGAAGTCAATGTGAAGTCTGCATCCAAAGTGATCAAGTAAGCTACAAACTTGCATGCCTTGCTATCTTGAATACCAAATTAACCAATTCCCTAACCAGGGCTCTCGACGCAGCTTTCCCCAAAGACCCTTCCCTTCCGTTATCCCACCTCCGTCGCTTTGCCAAAAGAGAAATACTCCCGCCGCCGCTGAGGGCAGCGATTGAAAGCCAGAGTGCTCCTCTGGCGGCCCCAGCACAAACCATCTTCGTTCTCATATCACCACCGTTGCCTGATCTCACCACACTCAAGACTCTGCTCGCTCCATTTGCGCCGGCCGCTACAAATGAAACGTTAGACGAAACCTCAAACTCCGATTCTCCAGCCCCCACTATTAATCTTCATTCCACCACAATCCCCCTTTGCCCCCCCTTCAATATAACTCAAGCCGAAGCATGGACCAAGTCTCTTTGGCCAGTTGTATTCAACCCAGCCGCACCCCGCTCAACTGTCGCGCCGCCCCCTCAAACCTTAAAACGCACACAGGAATCTATTGAGCCACGGGCAGGTTACTACATATCCCTAGCTCGCAAAGTAGCAGAGGAAGCAGAACAATCTGGGCTAGGCCGCGGCGTAGGCGCAGTGATTGTCGACCCCGCCATCGAAGAAGAAATAACTGCGGCAGGCTATGAGGTCGGGTATGATAATACAACAGAATGGGACGAAGCAGTCCTCGCAGTTGCCGGTGATGCGCGGTACTCCCGCTCCGAGGCGGGCGCGCCATCCCAGGCCCAGCTCCACGCCGGCATAGTGCCGAACCCAGCGAGCAAGACATACAACGCAGATGTCGAGGGCGGGCCTGAACTACACGCGCTGATGCGTGCTGTTGATATAGTTGCTCGCTGGCGCCGAGAACATGATCCTCTCGACGACGTGCCTGCATCAACGGCTACTGCAGATCCATTGAGGCCAGAACTAGAACAGCCAGAACTAAGCGCCTTAGAATCATACTTTTTGTACCGCCATCGTCCTGATACATTCACCAACATCCCAAACTCGTCTCACTCACCATCCTCCCCATTGAAGAGGAAGCACGAGGTCCCTAACCCTGAATCTGACTTGGCTATCGATCCCTCTACAGACCCTTCCCAATCTCAGCTCCCCTATCCACCTCTCCCGGCTCCTCCCCCATCTACCGTGATACTTGGAGACTCTTCTGCACTGGCTACAACACCCGCCGGTCCGCGCATTCGCACCCGCTCGCAGGGTGGCTACCTTTGCACAGATTTGGACGTCTACATTTCCCATGAGCCGTGTCTGTGCTGCTCTATGGGCATGCTTCTCTCCCGGTTCCGGTCTGTCACCTTCCCCAGACGTGGGAGATTGGAGACTGGTGGCCTGTCTTCTGAGCCGGTTGTTACTCCTGTGGCCGATGAGCTTGATCCAACCGTAGAAGCACCAGCTTCTGCAGTTGATGGACAGGATGAGAAAGAGTACTATGGGCTGCATTGGAGGAAGGAGTTGAACTGGAGGGCCCTTGGGTTTGAGTTTGTGGAGGATGATGATGTGGAAGTGAAAAGCGAGGCTGGAATGCCTGTCTTCCATGCTTGATTGCATGTTAATTACTTAGTGACTATTCAGCTCACTGTATGTCAGATCGTGTATGACCTACACGCTACATATCTAGAACTATAGGATGATAAGATATATGTGACTGTGTATACTTGGTTGTTTGTGTTAGATTGGGCTTGAGATAGTTGTGTCAGAAAGGAATGTCCTGATTTAACGCCTGTAAAAGATGAACAGGCAGCAAGAAGTGCTAGGCCAGCCATTCGATGGGGTCCCAGGAAGATGACCGCTAGAAGGGACATTGAGGGCACCCAAATTGTGACCAGATCAAACAGAATCAAGGTATCTAATTGATTAGCATGCTGCCCTGGTATCTGTTCATCACAAACATTGATTGATTCGTCATCACTTTCACTGTCCGACAGCTGAGGTAGTTCACGTATGTCTTTATAGATAGCAAAGCCAATAAAGATATAAAGTGCGAAGAGATCAATGAAAAGCCCACCGATAACTCTATTTAGTTGTTGAAAATATGCCAAGATGACGAAAAGCGTAGTGATAAAGACTTGGAGCGCAGAGTATACTATCTTTGCGCCAATATCAAAAGGACTCCTGGATAACACAACAGCCCCAGCGAAAAGGCACCGAGGATGTTGGAAATCGTAGATCCCATCACATTGCCTAGGGCTAAAGGGGTGCGGCCTTGTAGAATTGCAGCTACAACGACAGCAAGCTAGGCAGAGCTTGTCAGCATAGACTAGCTATATTGTGAAGTTCGAACCAACGTACTTCTTCATATTCAGCTCCAGTAGTCAAGAGGGCGATAAAAGTCAGAGCAATTCCCAGTCGCTGTCCTATAATCACAGTGTGATCGATGGATTTGCCTGCACCATAGTCAAGGACAAAGACCCAGGCAGTCAAGTCTGCCATGTCAAAGAAGGGACTGCCCCAATCCACGGCAAAGGTGTTGGTATGTTTAGATATTTTCTACAAAGATATCCAACCTTGAAAATTTGGGGTCCCAATGCGGGTGTCAGGTGTAGTAAACTTGCATACTACTACAGTAACATATGTATGTTACTAGCATGAGCCAGTAGCCAGTGTTTACTTTATCTAGGTAATACACTATAAAGATAACTTGAAACTTCCTTTGAAATTTTTTTTGATAAAATCAGGCTTTTTGACATACCACACCTGGTATTCTGCGTTCTCGCGCAATTCAGATATCCGAGCGCTGTCTGTAGCCTCCACACTCCCCCAACCCCAATCCACTGTGGTCTGCACCATTAATCTCCCTCTTCCCAACACTAACAAGAAACACTCCCGACGCCCCCAGACTGAACAACCCCAGCCCTCTTCAACACCCTTCTATGCAGACAAAGAAATCAAGATCAAGACAAGGAAATTCGTGACTTCGTCACAGGATCTCCTGTATCCACGTCATATGTCAAATGACGTGGCAAAGTACATGAAAAAACAAGAATTTGGTAGGAACAGCTCATGGAGACAATTCCTTTTGGCCTGGTCGTGTGCGATAGAGCCAAGATGGGTTTGAGAAATGTATCCATGAGAAAACGGAGAGGGGTATAAACCGAGGTCGACATCCCATAAGATACAGCGCAAAGGTAGACGGGAAGACAATTGGCTTAAAAGACAATGGGTTGTAGAGTAGCAAATGATTTAAAGGAGCAAAAAAAAAGAAGAGGTCGAAACGGAGTCAGGGTAAATGCTTTCGTGAAGCAAAAGTGAGATCTGATGATGGTGGATGAGCTTTTGGGGAGAGAGGTAGATGTCAAGGGACCGCCGTACCCTAGATTATGTTCCACTCTCCAGATGACTCCATTGAGAATGGTGTTTCATGTGCAGAGACGAGCTGTAGACACAAAAACGGAACGAGCTCGCTGAGATTGATGGATGTTATGTATGGCCTGTCGATACAGGCGGCAGATAATCCTCTGAAGTGAGAATCAAAATGCATGAATTTGTGGAAGACATAAAACTCGATATGTCGTAGGATATAGTGGGTATGATGCATTTTCAATGCGTCGTTGAGAAACGGGCGCCCAGTTTAATGACGAAGTTGTTGGGTGAGAGCTCTCAATCCATTCGTTGGTAGAACAATAGATAGGCAACTTTGTCGTCACGAGGGCCATAGCGGCCCGCGGGAGTTCGAACCCCAGAGGGAGCGGCCGGAGGTGGAGTGACTCCGTTCATGGATCTCTTGCTTGCATGCCCGTTAGCACCGTTGCCATTGACCTGGCTCCAGCCCTTGTCGCTATCAGTCAAATCCATGTCATGTTGATCGATATGGTCGAAAATATTGCCGTTCGGGATCTTGCCGTGCTTGTGCTGCTCAAGAGCGGCAGCGAGAACTTTAGGGTCTTCCTCACCACCAGCTTCCGCCACTTCCTCGCTACGCACGCGACGGATAACAGTGTCGTCCATGCGGATCCATTCCAGGCCTTCCTGTCGTCGAACATCCACCGTGTAGTGACCACCGCTGGCGTTCTTCCCGTGGTGGTAAATGACACCCATAAGGCGATATTTGGGGGGACCTCCCTGGGCTGCCATTGCGTTGCGCCGATGGGCTGGGAAAACCTCTCGCGGAAGCTCCAAGTCTAGGGGATATCCAACCTTCTTCCAAATCTTCTGAGTGGCACCTGTAACACTGTCGTACTGAAAGCGCTTGAGATGAAGAATGAGGACTGGGGGCAAAGTCTCAATGAAGATTTGTTTAGTCGCGGTAATGTTGGGACCGCGCGACGAGTTGAAATCACCCTGGATGCTTTCCGGCTTGGTCATTCCCTTGAGCGCGTCGAGAATGTTGTGAACGTCATGCGACCCAATATCGAGTTGCAAAGGCTGATAGGGTTCTAATGTGACAGAAGTCTTGTTGCCTGGTACCTTGAATTCTGACCGAAGCTTTCCCCCAAAAATTCTGGTGACGGGCGACTCAGCGGCAAGAGAGCCAGACAGTTGGGTGATCGCTGCTTTTTGCTTGTGGCCAACTTCTAACCAGCCATCGACAGAAGAATCGCCACCTTCCTTCGCTGCGATGTGCGTTTCGGCACGAGCGCACTCCTCGTGCATCTCCTCGAGGAGGAAGCCCAGGAACTCTTGTGCGTCCTGCTGATGTCCGCGCCGCATGTCCCTGAATCGTGGCAGTTGTCGAACCATCTCATAAACAAATTCAGGTACGAAAGAGTCGCCGTATTGTTCAAGCTCATTGGGCTTCAATCTGAGACGAAGTTGGTTTTCGGAAGTAGCCGCGTCAATAACACGAAATTCTTTCATGAACATGATCATCGCATCGATCAAAGGTAGATCACTGTGAAATGTGTGCGCAGCGCGTCGGCCAAGATGATCAAGGAACTGGTAGAACGGGGTACAAGAAACAAGAATTTGCAACACAGAGTTCATGTAACACATGTTTCCAGTGTTGACCAGTCCTCGAGGTTCAAGAAACGCGATCTTGTCGCTGTACTGTGTGACATCATCTCCCAATTTGCTGAGAACATCTGCAAGGGAATTGCTTTTCTGAACAGGCAATCCGTGTGGCTCGGCCAAAGCGGCGGCGGCACTTGCTGCTTTGGCCGACTCCTTCGAACGGACCAAATCAGCCCAAGACTTGGGTGCAGCTGGTGCAGCTGGCACAGGTGAGCTTGCCTTGGTTTCAATAGAAGGAGCTTTATCTGATTCTACCACTGGGACAGGAGTAGCAGGTGCAGTCGACTTGGGAGTTCCAGATGTGACGCTGCTATCTTTGGGTTGGCGACGTGGGGTAGATGGTACATTAGGCACCACTGGAACAACTGGAGCAGGCTTTGAGCTTTTGGAGTGCGGTTGTGATCTTGCAACTGACGAAGGAGTGGTAGGCTGTGTAGAGTCTGTATCCGACTGTTGGAATGTGGTGGTTGTCGGGGTTTGAGGTTCCGAAAATTCTTGGGTAGATGAGCACGATGGCTGAGTCTCTTCGTTTTCATGTCCTTCGATGACCACGTGTGTGTCTTTGGTGGGAAGCTCAACTGATGATTGCATAACACGGCCCTTGCGGCGTCTGCGCGGGATTCTGGCCGGGAAGGGCTGTTCTGGAACCGAGAGCCAAGGAATCTAAAAGGACAGTTAGAAGATATTTAAGTTTAATTCAAGACGACAGTAAACACTTACTGGTGGGGCAAAAGTGGGCTTCGGCGGCAAGTTTGACTGTGGTTCCCATCGCGGTGACGGAGAAGCGATGGGATACCCTTGGACCGAGTGCGGTAGAACAGCAGGATATTCTTGCATTTCGGGCTGAATGGGTTGTATCGATGGATGCAGGACAGATGGAGACATTATCGGTTGCAGTGGAGTCGGAGTTCTTTGATGCATGGGCATCGAATGAGGAATATGCGTAGGGGCCATGACAGGCTGCGAGTGAGGATAGGAGGATACAATCATCGGTCCATAGGGCGCCTGGTATGGACGAGGAGGGCCCTGGACATGTCCATATGGTGGATACCAGTAAGGATATTGCTGCGATGAGTATGGTTGATGAGGCATGTGACTATTCATGTGAGGAGGATATCCCATGTACTGTGGTGATCGCATGTGGGGAGGCGCCGCGTTGTAAGAGAAGTCTTGCTGGCGTCTCGAAGGAGGCATTGGCAGCTGCCCATGAGGCATGGCAGGGAGGTGGTGGTTCATCTTGAGCTGGCTAGATAAAGAAGTTGTCTTGACGTTCGGTCACGCGTTGCCTCAAATGAGTGCCATGCGCGATAGCAGTCAAGAGGAATGAAAAATCTAGGGCTGCTGGCGCATTTAGGCAGCCATCGTGGCCTCAATAAGAGGTGCTGGAGAATGGAGTGGAGGATACTAGGTTAAAAGAGCTGTTGGGTTGCTGGGATTGGTTGAAGGAGACTGGCAAGCCAGATCGGAGTGAGGAAACAAGAAGAGAATAAGCAGATCGCTGTACAAGTAACTCCCTAAGCAGAGAAAGTCAACAAGTGGTGGATGAGAAGCGAGTGAGCAGAATGAAAGGGAAAAAAAGAAATAAGAGACGAGGGTTAGGAGGCCTCGATTCACCGTCAAACGAAATGAAGCTGAAGGGGACCGAGACCGAATTGGGTGTCGGGACTTGTTGGTTCACGTGACATTACGATTTGTAACCAGAGAGGGGCGAAATTGGACCTTCACAACATCAACTGGCACCCTGAGGGCCGTCCCTCGATCCTCACTACTATTTTTACATGGCCTTTAGGGCCATTCATTCCCCTTCACATATTCCGGTCCAATCTGAGGCAACTGGTGGATCACTCGATCTACTGCCTGCTAGCTGATTGACATCTTATCAGTTGTTGGCTTTATCCAGTCCCCATAGAACCCCCTCCTTCCATTCAGCCAACTGGTTCGTTTCGTCTCTCTGCCTTGATTGATTTATTGCAGTTTCCCTGGTGCACGAAAAATACTGCAGAGATATGTCATCCAATGCAGGACAGAACCCGCCCCCTTCTAAAGCTGTAAACATTCCGAATACAGCCTCGTCTGCTCCATTCCACTCGGCAGTTCCAGCAGAGAACGGCTCCCAACGGCGCTTAGGAGGCGCTGGAAGTTCTCGGCCAGGGGTATCATCGAAGACTTCGGCCACCCCAAGGAATAATCAAGCTCGGAAGAGTCAGCATAACCGTCAAAGAAAACCTCGGCTATTGGATGATGACGAGTACAACGAATCGGTGGGTTCGCAGGTCTATCTTCCTCAAGAGCTGCCTGCTGACCCTGGTGCCGTTATCTAGGCCGCCATGAAATCCACCACTAGTCGCAAGGGACAGACGTCCATAACTCACCTGATGAACTTTTCACTTCCCCCTCGCCCACAATACCAAGCACCTCCTCGCAACATTCGACGGTATACATCCTGGGGAGCGAGTGCAGTAGACAAATCACGATATGTTCATGCGAATTATCGGTTTATCGTGATGCCAAATCAAAATTTCCATGCGCAGGCAGCCAATGCCGATGTTCATATCGACTGGGCCTCGGTCCTTCAAGTACTGGTGTCTGCTCAAACACAGGCTGCTAGCTGTCCCATTTGTCTTTCTACTCCGGTTGCACCGCGGATGGCACGGTGTGGTCACATTTTCTGCCTCCCATGCCTTATCCGATACATGCACTCCTCCGACGACGATAATATGGTCCCTGAAAAACGGCACCGTTGGAAGAAATGTCCTATCTGCTGGGATTCCGTGTATATCTCTGAGACTCGACCTGTCAGATGGTTTCGTGGCCAAGAAGGCGATCTTCCCGTCGAAGGTGGCGATGTTGTATTGAGACTTGTAAAGCGAGAGTCGGGCAGCACCCTTGCTCTGCCCCGTGATGGATCTGAGGCGCTTGGTCCAGGCGAGGATGTTCCATGGTATCATGTGGCAGAAGTTGCCGACTATGCTCGAATCATGAAAGGCGGCGAAGAATATATGACCGCTCAATATGATGCTGAGATCGAAGACCTTCGCAAACAGGAAGTCGAAGATGAGCTTCTCTTTGGCGATGAGAATACTTGGACCCGAAAAGCAATTGGCTCTATCATGGATGCCAAAGAGAAGCTGAAAGGCATTGGCAATCCGCCTGAAGTCCGGCCAGTCAAGGAACGCAATATTGTACCTACGCTCACTAAAAGCTCTTCTGAACCTTGTACCGTGATGCCGAGTACATTAGATGAAGCCAATCATCTATCTAAAACTCTAGACGGAGTCGATCTTGATCCTGAATTCAGTACTAAAGCTAAAGAGAAAGGCCGCAGCAAGCAAACGCCAGCGTCTTCCGGGCCAGATCAACCATATCATTTTTATCAGGCGTTACCTCATTTCTACCTCTCTTCCTTGGATATCCGCATCCTGAAGGCTGCATTTGGAGAATATTCTCTGTTCCCTGCGACCATCCTACCACGAGTGGAGCACATATCAACAGGCCACATCGTAGATGATGAGCTTCGCAAGCGAGTGAAATACCTCGGGCATCTTCCACAGGGATGTGAGGTTAGCTTCCTGGAGTGTGACTGGAGAGATGTGGTTGTCCCTGAGGTTTTGGGGCGTTTCCGCGCAGAGACTGATAGACGACGAAAGCGTAACCGGGAAAAAGAAGCCCGGGAAGAAAAGGATCGAGTTCGTGCGGAGAGGGAGGAGGATGACAAACGGTGGGCTGCCGCTCGGCGCAAGCGGCCAAGCATTGGAAGTGCCAGTGTTAGTGAAGCCCCATTCTCTGCTCATGACTTCCAACCACTTCCTCACAACGCGGATTCTACATTATTTGACACCACTGCCTCCTCGGCCTCTCCTCCACGCCCATCATCTGGATTCGGGGCACTGGCCACTCCTTCCACCAGTCCCCCGGGTATCCGCACTGTTTGGGGCACGACGGCAGTGGGCTCACTGTCACCAAGTCTTGAGGCTCAACGAGCTATACACAGTGATGGGTGGCGGCAGGGGTGGGAGGATGAGCTCTTCGCCCATCAGGAATCTGATCTGCTCGCTCAGACGGCATCTGGAGACCAAAATTTAAATACTGGACCATCTTCCAGTGGGGGTAAGAAAAAGAAGAAAAACAAGACTAAGATCACATTGATGGCGACTAGCAGCCAGAGAGGGGCATAGGTTTTGATCAAGCCTTGTTCATCAACCTCGTACTATATCATCATATATGATGCATTTCCCCGATTCTTCAGGTTGTTGTCTTCTGTGGTTCTCGGCTGTGTCTATATTTTATTCTATTGGTATTGTTGGATTTTTCTGGAATATTGAAATTAAACACACAATTATATTTACCATTCAGTAATCTGATCCATTCGGCTTGGGATGATATACATATATATAGTAAATGTTATGTTTAAGATTCTTCCACGACGTATAGAAGAGAGAAAAGAAAAAAAAACCCCCTGTTGGAAAATGATGTCGATCAAAAGTCAGGACATGTCAAGAGGAACATTTGAAGAAGACCTACAACCTAGAAGAAATAAAACAAATGCAGACGTAGCAAGTAATCTCTACTTTGCCCAGGTGAGGGGATACAGAGGGGACTCTGTAAATATGTTGTACCCATAGTCCAAATATTTTAAATAGGCAGTTGACAACGAGTTCCCCCCACAATAATAATGACACACTAAATGGTAAATTGGCCTTTGTGGGGATGAAATATTACAGTACAAAAAGAAAGTATTTAGCCCCTTTTAGTATCATAAGAAATCTACGGACTACTCTGTACTCTATATAATTACAACTCGATTTAGCTCTCTCTGATTTTAGACATGTACTATGTATATTATAATCAGCATACTACATATGTACTATTAGTGGTTTTATCGAAAGATATAAATACCGAAATACTCCCAGTATACATATGTATGTAGACATGCAAGTGCCTAGGTATGTAAGTATGTAAGTATAATATAATACTCCTTAGTTAACTAGTTAACTAACGTATTTCACCACCGAGTGGCCACAACCACCGAGTGGCCACCCCAACCCTACATATTAAATTTAAATGCATTTTTCTCAACCAAAACTCCATTAAATTAATTCAACTAACTAATTGGTCTATCTGGACATATTTCTCTTCTATACCCTGGCAATCTGCATATTCCACATCCCCGGGGGGGCTTTGTACGTGGTTGTAAACCCGATTCTCTAGGTATGCCGGCGGCGGGGGAAGGTGCTTCAGTTGCTTCCAGTTGCTGCATAATTAATGCAGATACTTCTTGAACTGAGAGGCCTTCTTCGGCGGGTATCTGCCTTCGGGATCGAGTGCGCTTTTGCTTCTGCTTCTCGTTAGCGGCGCGTAAATCGCTTACTTCTTTCTCAAGAAGTGCGGCGGATTGCATAGTGATCTGGCACGCCTTTAAAACCTGGTTTATAGCGGAATTGAGAGGACTTAGAGGGCTCCTTGATCTTATACGAAGCAATGCTTTAATTGACGAAGCTTGTTTTTGTAATTGGACGTAGTTCGAAGGGGTTTTTGGGTCCCAATCACTACCCCGGCTCGGAGGGGGGGTCGGGGTTCGAAGACGAATATCAAGCTTTGAAATCACTCGATCGGGTGCAAAAGGTATTAAACCAGCTGCTCCGAAGCTATTTTTAATAGTCTCTGATTTAAAAGCTTCAATTCGTATAAGTGGGTATACTTCGAGGAAGTCAAGTTTATCGACATGATTTATCCCACTCCGCATTTTGAATTCAACAAACCGACCGTACGCACGTTTTAGTACCGCAAAACAGCCGATATCGAGAGGTTGTAAAAGGTGAGAGGAATACGGAGGCATACAAATTGGTATAATACCATTTTGTTCGCAGATTTCGTCGAACTTCGGTGTTAAATAGCTTCCGTGACCGTCGAGTACTAGAAGCCGATACCTCCCCTTCGTACGCGAAGAAGTCGAAGGAATAAAGAGCTTTTCGAGCCAACGAAGTCCAATTTCATCCGAAGTCCAACCGTTAGGGCTTACTTCAAAGCGCCAGTCATTCGGGACGCTTTTAAACCAAGATTCGAGGAAGACTTTGCCTTTAAAAATCACACACGGAGGAAGCACCCAGCCAGAAGCACCCGTACATTCAATTACTGTCACCCACTCGCGAGTTCCAGGTTGTAAAGTCTTACGCCGACCGGTTATATCACTTCTCGTAATAACCTTCGCGGTCGCGGTTAATCCTAACGCGAAACCGGTCTCGTCAAAGTTATAAACGTCATCGGGGTCGATTCCAAATTGAAGGATCGTCTTTTGAACCAGATTAAACCACTCCCCAATGATTTTAGGGTCTTCGCATTTCGCACGCTCGTAATTATACCGTTTCGAGAATCGGGAGGAGAGGAGAGGATGTCGTTTCACGAATTTCGTAACCCAATTTTCGCCGACCGAAAGAACCGGGGTAGTTCCACGTTGTTGAAGAAGAAGATCCGCCATTTCTCGTACGGAAGAGGGCCGGGGGCTGCTCCACGAGAATCCATAGAGATAATCCATTTTTCAAGAGATTCCTCTTCAAGTTCTGTCAATTTATGCGAATTAGCGCGAGAAGTCGCGCGGTCTTAGACGCCGCTAAGGCGGCGGCGGAGAGTTGAACGCGGCACATTGAAAGTGCGAGCAGCGAGAGTAATATTACTGATATCTCCATTTTTAAAAGCCTGGATAGCTAATAAAAGCCTACCCTCTTGCTCAATTGAATTTTTCGAGCTTTGAGAGCGAATTGGTGGCATAGTGGGTGGTTGAAGAAGAAGGGATTAAATTAATTAACGCGTTTTGGGTAGGGTGGCCACTCGGTGGTTGTGGCCACTCGGTGGTGAAATACGTTATAGGTTCCAAAGTAGTTATGCGCCTGGGTAGATTTGAAAATTATTTGTTATGTAATCAGTTAGTACGGGGGGAAGAGTAAACATTCAGGGCATCCTGTTTTTTTTTTTTCCTCGCTCCTTTTTACCCTCAGCCTTTCCTCTCCTTACCCTGAATTGCAGTCGGAACCTTGGTCTTCCGATTAAGCGATCATGACTTTAACCCGCTCTCAAACGGGGAAAACCCCTAAGTGAGTAGTTACCACTGGATCTCAATTGCGACGTATCCACACCCTGAATCCTCCAGGGTAATATCTTGCCAATATCCCCGAACTTTTGGCTTGTACATAGTAGGCTTTTTGTCAAGCTAATTTGGAATCCTTTCTTCCTCCAGGAAAATGGATCGCCCTGGCTTCATTGAGACTCCCGGCGGCCGTCGCGCCACTCGCAGCAGTTCTGTCTTCGATGGTAGCGAGAATGAGGTCTCTCCTTCCCTAGAGAGAGCCAAGTCCGCCTCCCGTCGTCGTACTTCAGGCAAAGTCAAGACTGAAGAGGATGATACGCCAGTGAAGCTTACCAATGGCAAGACTACGAACCCCAAGTCCGCATCGCGCGTGGTGGACGGTTGGGAGGAAGGCCTCGATCCCAAGGTTGATTACAGCGGACACTTTGAATTCGGTGGCTCCTTGGGTGTGCTGTCCATGATGATCGGATTCCCCATGCTCATGTACTATATGTGGATTGGTGCTACCTACTACGACGGCAAGTTCCCTCGCCCCGCAAAGAACGAGAGTTACGGCGACTTTTTCACACACTTGGTCAATCTGGTCTACACTGGCGCTTTCCCGTCGGTTAAGGCATGGACTATCTACTGGGTTTTCTTCATCTTCGAGGGTGTCTGTTACGTGCTTCTTCCTGGTGTGAGCGTCTCAGGCCGCCCCCTGCCACACATGGGTGGTAAGCAGTTGCCATATTACTGCTCTGCTGTGTGGTCTTTCTACACCAGCATTGCATTGGCACTCATTGCACACGTAACTGGGGTCTTCAAGCTGTACACCATCATTGATGAGTTCGGCCCCTTGCTCACTGTTGCCATCCTGTCTGGATATATCGTATCTTTCATCGCCTACTTCTCGGCTTTGGCGCGTGGCGCAGAGCACCGTATGACTGGCTACCCGATATATGACTTCTTCATGGGCGCCGAGCTCAACCCCCGCATGTTCAAGATCCTCGACTTCAAGATGTTCTTCGAGGTCCGCCTGCCTTGGTACATCCTGTTGGGCCTGTCTCTGGGTGCCGCTGCCCGTCAATGGGAGATGTATGGTTATGTGTCTGGCGAGGTTATGTTCCTTGTCATGGCCCATTACCTTTACGCCAATGCCTGCTCCAAGGGTGAGGAGTGCATTGTTTCCACCTGGTAAGGATATATTCCTGCCCCAAAATCAATATTATTTTCTAACATTTCTTGCAGGGATATGTACTACGAGAAGTGGGGCTTTATGCTGATCTTCTGGAACTTGGCCGGTGTGCCTCTGAGCTACTGCCACTGCACCATTTACCTCGCCAATCACGACCCTGCTGAATACCGCTGGAACCGTTACTTTCTTGCCTTCCTCTTCATCGCCTACCTGTTCGTCTACTGGGTGTGGGATACTACCAACAGCCAGAAGAACCGTTTCCGCCAACAGGAGCGTGGTACCATGGTTTCCCGCAACACCTTCCCCCAGCTTCCTTGGCAGACAGTGGAAAACCCCAAGACTCTTACTGCGGCCGATGGCTCAAAGATTCTTGTAGACGGGTGGTGTAAGTTCACATCAAATATCAAAAATCTACAAGCTCCGGTACTAACAACCGAATAGATGGTAAGGCTCGCAAGATCCACTACACGTGCGATCTTTACTTTGCCCTGAACTGGGGCTTGATTACCGGCTTCTCAAGCCCGTTCCCTTGGTTCTATCCTGTCTTCTTCGCTTGCATGATCAGCCACCGTGCTCTTCGTGATATCCAGCGGTGTCGCACCAAGTACGGTGAGACTTGGCTCGAATACGAACGTCAGGTGCCTTACCTGTTCATTCCTGTGAGTAACTTAATCTTGAATACTTTGTCGGTGCCTGGGGCTAACCTTGTATACTATAGTACGTCTTTTAATTGTAGCTTGCTGCTTTCCCTTGGACTCATTGGGGGCTCGGTAGTTGGGGGGCCCAGGGAATTTTTCTTTTTCAGGTCTGACCAGAACATCATTCAGCCAAACAATCTTTGGAATATCACATGTATAAAACAAAACCTCAAATAGAATATTAATATCTGCACTGATCATGAAGCAAGATGTTCCGGCCATCCTATATGATGGTCTCTTGACTGATTTGGAATCCACCCTGGGAATTTTTCATACTTTATGTTTGTACGACTTGCAACGAGTCACCCGGATTCCGAAGTCGATACAGATGTGTGAACGCATTAGCTTCTGTTTAACTCAATCCATAATCCCTGTATTAAAAGCAACCAAAGCCATCTACTCCACACGTAAAACCGAGTTGTTAAGATGTTGGCTAATATTAGTACATGGTTGCCCCGCGTGTGTTATCGATAATGTTTTCGCCGCGCCTCAATCGCCTTCCAATTGGAGTACTTTGTAGAAGTACAGAGAGTAACGGTATACTATTATGGGCACAAAACGTGACCGGGTGTATATATCATCATTATCAAAAGTTATATATAAGAAATTCATCTTCACAGTCTATGCTTTTTACCACTTTTGTATCTTGTTAAGAAAACGTCTCAAAAGACATCTGAAAAGAACATCCAAAAATCACATCAGAGATGTTCTTATTTATAACGTCACAAATATACCTACACAGCATGAGTAGCTGACTATCCTTGTCTCAATAGTTCAAGATTCTATAAATGCAAATTTCAGAAGATCGTATGTTGTGTATAAATTTACTAATATGTGGCTTGGGTCCATCTGGTCGACCTGGCGACCATTTGTCTCCGGTAAGGGTCGAACGAAGTAAATCACTTTGACCTCAATAAGTTCCAGAAACAAAAAAAAAAAAAAAAACACAAAAGGGAGGAAGAAAAACAATATCAGCACTAAGTCTAGGGAGATCTGCAAGTATCCAGAAGATCAGAAAAGAACCTTTCTACCCCCGAGGTCCATATACATCTCAGCTTATACTGTTAAAATATACTCTTCAGTACTTAAAGGCAGAAGAGAAGACTATTATTAGTGACTGGACCCAGAGAATCACCATTGCCACACTGTTTATGGAGAGTATTGGAACACTGTTTGGTTAATTTCCCAATTGTTTTGATCGGATTTTGATTGAAATTAGAGAAAGAAAAAACCTGGAAATCGCAGTCGTTTTTTCCCCCTAAGCCACACTAGCGCCAGCCTTGGAGTCCCCCGAGTAACCCGTGGGAATCACCTCGAATCACTTCTTTATTCCCCTCAATTTACGCATACAAAGCTTCACCTCTCTACTTCAACTTCGATACTTCAACTTCTTGTTTAAACTGGTTTCACTATCCAGAGATCTACCGATCTGGACCGGTCCTCAGCGCGGGTCACAACCCTCCTCATCTTGAACTCTCTACCTGGATAGTCTCAACAGTCTTTGTTAACATTGCCTCACGTCTTTTATACCTCTCATTAGAACCGCGCCTCGATTGACAATGGGGTCCACTCAATTCGGGAACTTTCACGTAAGTGCAGATTGACCTGGAGACTGACCTTCCAATAGGCAGATACTGACCGCACACCCGTATGGGTACCACAGGACTTCTGTCGCGACTCAACTTTACCAGTCTGCAACGTAAGTGAGATCTCCTCCTATGATAGCTCTATGAAACTGTCAACTGACTGTATCACTTGTCACGTACAGCTTTTCACTAATAAAACTGCGACTGTTGCCTTCGGCGCGTGCGATCTGACCGGCATTCCTCTCAGTGGGGATAGACACCTTCGGAACTTAGGTACGATCTGTGAAGCTGAGGCCGATATCATTGGGGACAGATTATGCGAGGATGATGTGAAGGTGATTGCTGATTTCTGATAGGTTCGATTCTGCTAGCCTTCATTGCCATTGTTTTAACCGTGGGTATGATATGGAGATCTGACAAGAAGCACGCTGCCGTCGGCCGGAGGTATAAGATATCTTTTTTTTCCCTATGAATATATCAACTGACATAGTGGTGTGCACAGGGAAATGCAATTGTTCTTGCTGGGTTTCATCATCATTGAGATCTGCGAGATCTTCACAGTGGGTGGCTTTCCGCTGAGCGACGCAGTTCGAAAGGTACGATTTCTACAGAATATATTCAAGGCCTTGGCTGACGGAAGTATCCAGGGGTTTTCTGCAGTACACATCGCCGCAATCACTGCTACTTGCTGGGTCCTTCTCATGAACGCACTTGTCGGCTTCCAGTTGCTCGACGACGGCACCGCAGCTTCCATCGGCCTTATCTGCGCATCTGCTGCGGCCTTTTTCATCGGTACAGGCTATATCGCCTTGGACACCGGATTCCATTGGACTGGTCGTTTCCAGTCAAGCTATGACAAACTAAACCGCAACATCGCCCTTTATGTTCTGTACCAACTTTTCCCACTCGTCTGCATTGTCTTGTTTTACATCCTAGAGGCCGTACTGGTCCTTCGGGTCCTGGGCGAGTTCCGACCAATGCGTAAGTACACCACACCACACTAGACTTCAACACAAACATGTGCTAACGGTGCAACAGTGTATCTCACCGGTGCTGGCGTGTTGTTTGCAATTGGCCAGGTCTTCAATTATGTGATCAGCACCCACCTATGCCAGGCCTCAGACGGCAAGATCAATGGAGCTTTATTTGAGACTCTCTTCACCCTCCTTTCTGTCTCCGGGGTCTGGGCCTTCTGGAGCAGTATCACTGAAGACGACTGGCCTCTACCTGTGGGTGGCGGTGGCTACAACTGATATGATAATCATGCCATTTGCATTATCTATGACTTTGCTTCGTTCAGTTCCTTGCGTGCGAATTTTGACGTCTCTAATTATTCTTCAGCCATACATAACTTTCCTACGAGTCTGGATCTTGAACTGGGACCGTTGACGTTGTGATACCCCATTTCCTTGAGTCATGTTTCACGATTCACCTGCCATCTCTTACTTTTACGGCGGTTATCATCCCCTGCGTTATGACTCGTTCCAGCCCATCTATGTTTTATGAATTTACCCACAGGAGTTTCGATCTACCAGTCAACTACTGGTCGATCACTTCCTCGGCGTTTATCCGTTATTTTGTTCAATGACAGATACCTCCTCGCCATGTACTTAGTTGTAACACATGTCAAATAATCGACTTTAACTATCTCACCTTTCCCGAGTATCGACCCTAACTAAACAACTCCAGACAAAATCAGTCACGGGGGGAGCTTTTGTGTAAACGCTACTCGGATATATTATATTAAATAGGTATGTAGTATCCGATGCTACCTACTACCCTGATACAGATATTGGGGAAAGACAAGCCTTCTGATGCGACTCAGTGTGACCACCTGGGCATGCTAGTTTTCACTTCACGCCACATACCCATCTACCAATTGGTCACCAACGTCACATTCATGCCGAGCACCGGCTGTCCATCTCTTTTGCTGCGAACAACTCTAAAGCTTTGGTGTAATTATACAATACCTAAACGGCCATCTAATTCAACAATAGTAACCTAGTCCCTTTATAAATATAAAGGGTGCAGTTTCAACCTATCCTCTTGATTCTTTGCTTTCGAGTCTCTCCAAAGCTTCTTGAATATGCGTTTCAATATCGCCACTCTCGTCCTTGCTTCAGGGGTTACCTCAGCCGCAGGAATAACTCCTGTAGCCAATAATACCCCCACCCAAACCTCCTGTACGGATTTCTTTCTATAAACCCAATTTTTCGAATGTAATTTGAATAAGCTAGCATACTAATGCAAGTTATACACATAGTCCGGCAACAAAATCTAGATATCGTCCGGCAGCTCCCAGAGGCGTGTAGTGTCGCTGCTTGTCTCAACTTGACAGCCCAGATTACGTGCATTGCTAATGCTCTTACCAATGGTGATCCGGCTGCTCTACAGAAGTGTCTAACAACTTCCATGAGTCAGGTATCCTCCTTTGCCTTCGTCGAGTTTTATTTAAGAGCAAAAATTAAGATCTAGGTCTAGCTATGCTCATGTGTTGCTTGTTATCCGATGCTTAACACTATGCTTACTGCACTCGGTATCTGCCCGGTTTCAAATAATGATGGCGGTGATAAGTCTTCTTCTAAGTAGTCGCGATGCAGCCCTCAACTGCATGCTATCTGGGGATGTTGTCATTGCTTATCATAGTTGGGGCTTCCTGTCCGTCCTCAGTACATATAACAGTCAGTCCCATTCCCGTAGAAATACTAGCTCTCTTTCTGCTCCTTTTCTGCTTTTTCGATATTAACATTGAACTTGATATGAAAAATATAGGGGTGGGGGCTAGGCCAAGGCTAACTAGACCACGTCTTCCTATCCAAGGCGCCGGGCATATATGGTATTATGTCATATATAGCCACCACTTTGAGGGTTGAGTGTAGCTTAAGTGGCAGGACAATCTATATATTTAACAAAAAGTCATTCGATGGTTGACAGATTATTATTATGGAATGAGTTATGTACAATGTTCATAGGCGTGACAGGGAACCTTGGAAGATATCGAGATCAGCATATAAACTGAAAACACAAAAGTCGTAAATAATGTATATGAAATCAAAAGCTCATTTGAATACATCACCAGTGTAACCATGCCAAATCAAAAAATTTGAACACTTCATAGTCGAACTTTGACATCAACACATGGAAGAGTCCATTCCCGTCTCCCTAAGAGGCTGCGCATCCACTCCAATCCAACTCCTGTCCACTCGTCGGGCCTTGACTCCATTCCACTGGGGGCAAGTCGTTGCTGAAGACCGTCCAATGCAGCACCAGCCAAGGCTTTGGCAGTTGAGTTCATAGTATCGAAAACAAATTCCGTTAGACCCTCGCTAGATACTATTGCTTCAGGTGTTGCGTTGCCCGAGATAGCGTAATCGCCAGGTTCTGAGGTATAGCGTGGTGCAAACCAATTACTCCGTAGATCAAAGATGCACCGGTCTGACCAATGGCATGAAGAAACGAAGAGAATAAGGAGTAACGCGGAACAGTAGATGCATGGCCGGTGGATGATATATGTTAAGGCAACAAACGAGATGATGAAGAGCGGGGAGGCGTTGGTCGGGATAAAAAGGAGAGGTAGCCAGCTACAGTATGTTTCATCTGGGTTAGTCTCATTCACCTGCCTTGTTGCTGGTTGCTGGTTGGTTGGTTGCTTCTCTTACCTTCGCAGACAGAACATGATGTGGTTTGTGGGCGCTGCCTTCCAACGGAATGGTGCAGACAGATGGACAAAAGCGTCGATTGACTTATTCAGGATATCTTGATGGTCCAATGAGCTCACCACCTTCGAACTCAGTAAGTGAAAGTGGGCTGGAGGAAGTAAAAGTAATCCGGTTCACTAATAACGCGAGTTGGGCAAGAGATAGCACTAGCCACAGCCCGCCACAAACTCGGCAGCCCCAGCCACACCCACGGCTTGAACAATATTACAGAGTTCTTCTCTCTTTCACCCTTCCTCCCTCTACTTCACCACGTTCTTCAATTTCATCTCTCTTTTCTCGCACTTATCTCTGATTTGCTCTTTTGGCGCCTTTTCTAGCCTTTCTGATTCCCAATTTCATACCCTGTCCCTCTCGAAAGAGAGCTTCTGAGAGCTCTGCAAAGCTTGGATCCTATCGGCGGAGGTCGCCTATAACCACGGCGTAACGGCAGAAATGTCCACCCCCACCGATCTCCAGGCCCTATTAGCCAGTATCCGGCCCCGTCCTTCTCCTTCAAACACTCCTGGTCAGGATAACACTCAGGCTCAGCGCCAATCGTATTACCAACCCGGTCTGTTCCCGCCGCACCCTCAGCAGCAGCAACCTTACGATGGCCAGAGCTACCCTCATCCCCAGTCGCATGGCTACCAACATCCATCGGTATCCTCGACTGTCCAAAGTCCTGCCCCAATGAATGCTCCCCCTCATCAGGGTTCTGAAATCTTGAGCCCTAACATGCCTTCTCCTCGAGGCGAATGGCCCCAGCAGCCGCAACCGCAGCACACCAACCCAGGCTCCGTGGACCTTTTGAATCTTCTCAGATTCAGCCAGCGCCCTGGCGCTTCTCCTCAGCCGCAGGCCCCAGCCGCAGCTCCCGAGCGCTTGCAGCCCCCGTCGGCCCAGGGGACTCCTGCGTCGCACGGACGAAATATTTCCGCGTCTGACTTAGTTGCTACTTTGTTTGGTCAACAGGCCCCTGTCACCCCTGCTGCTGCGCCCGCTGGCCCTCCCCCGGCATTCCACTCTGGTCAACCTGAGGGCCCCAATGAGAACACACAGGATATGTTGCTTCGCCTGCTCAACCGTTCTCAGCCAGCTCCTGCTGTTGCTGAATCACCAGCGCTGGCTCCAGCTCATCAGGCAACATATATGCAGGCTGCCGTCGATGAACATCAGAACCAGACAGCCAAGAATGTCTTTATGGAAGTTGTGGATGAAAGTCCCAAGGCGCCTGCGAACCCGGAAACGGTCGTATCGCCCAACTCGAAGGACTCAATGTTCACATATGTCAATCCGTTTGACCAATTGGCCGCTATATCTCCTGTTAACAAGTCTCCCCAGTCTACCTCTAGCATCCAGAGCCCAGCTATTGAAGTCACGCAGAAGCAAAATATCAATGTTTCTACTAAGCTAGAGCCCTCGCAAACACCCGAGCTTGTGGCTCCCAGAGAGAGGACCCTGTCGCCAATCCTAAATGAAGGTCAGAGAGATGCTGTGCATGAAGTCGTCGGTCGTCTCGTAGATGAGATTGGCCGCTCTCTCGGCGGCGATGAACCTCAAGTTTCAACGGAAGCCAAGCCTGCTGTTTCTATTGTCCAGGAGGGATCATCTGAAGCAGTTCTTTCGTCGATCGCTAGTCAAGTGCGCGAAACTGTTTCTGAAGCTAAAGAAGCGGCAATCTTGAGCCAGGTTGATGGTCTCGTGAAGGAGACAGAACCTTCCGTAGTTCCGGTTGCCCCTAAGACGACTGAGAACACTGAGGCTCTAGCCGATAGCTGGGAGAGTGCGGAAGACAGCGCTGAAAAGGAAGAAGAACGAGTTGTCTCTGTTCACAACTTCCCAATGAGGCCTTTCATCTCCATTGCTGTGAAAGCTACGTCTGGAAAACTTACGACCTTCCGTGATGACGATGTGATGGATATCGCTCGTTTGAAGAAGGAGTTTGATCAGCTGGATCGCTCGTTGACTGCCGCTACATCCGAATATATCGTGTACGCGCTCGCCAAAACTGGCGGAATCAGAATTATTCGACAGGACGACGGTAGTGACCGACAGGTGTTCCGTTCTACCCGTGATCGAGTGTTCAACGTTGCCCTATGTACAGCGCCTTCTGCGGCTGGTGACTCCGAAGTCCAGGCCATCCTCGGCATTGGAGTTAGCGGCTCTGTATACTGGGCTTTGATCTCGCGTGCTGGAAAGGATTTCTTCGATATGGATGCCTTGGAAAGCGAGAGCTTGATCTTCCCACCTTTCCCGGCTTCGGACGAGAACACCTCTGGTGGCCAGCTGAAAACGCGAGCCAAGCGGAGCACTCGTCATACAAACTTGTTTGCCATTGGTCGGGGCAAGAACATCTACGTTATTTCCCCAAAGGCAGCAATGAGCCCTACCTACGGCGTTTCTGGTACTCAGCGTACAGTCAATACTGAGAAATTCTTCAAAGAGCGTGCATTGAAGATCTCCACTGGCAAAGCCGGCAAAGACTTTGCTTTCAGCGATGATGATTCCGTTATCGCCTCCTTGGATAAGACCGGCCGACTGCGCTTCTGGGATATCAATGATATGCTTAACGATGCGAGCTTCGTGGAAGGTCCTGCCCCTGCTGAGATCCGGGTGCCCCTGACCACTTTTGTCACTGGCTCCCCAACTGAGAAGTCTTGGCCCACTTCCGTCCTCTTCCTCGATAAACTTCGCGCTTATTCGCGATCTATGGCGCTCCGTTATGTTTTGGTTGGACTCAAGCAAAACCACACCTTGCAGCTCTGGGATATTGGGCTGGGCAAGGCCGTGCAAGAGTTGAAGTTCCCGCACGAGAACGAGTCCGATGCCATCTGCAGTGTGGCTTATCACCCGTCATCGGGTGTCATTGTCGTTGGACATCCCACACGTAACTCTATCTACTTTGCTCATCTTTCAGCTCCTCGGTACAATTTGCCTCAGATGTCACAGGCAGCCTACATCCGAGATCTTAACGATAAGGACAATACCCTCCCCAAGCCTGAGTCTACTGCTTGCTTGAGTGGAATTCGGGAGATCTCTCTCGGTTCCAAGGGTCAGCTGAGAAGCTTGGAGCTTCTCCCTATCACTAAATACGCTACTGACAAGCGCGGCACCGAAGAAAATCCCCTGTTTGAGCTTTACGTTATGCACTCGCGCGGTGTGACATGCTTGAACATCAAGAAGGAGGATTTGGGCTGGACTGCGGATAACAAGGTCATTCGCCCTATTGATGCTATGGAGCACGGCTTGATTGAAATCAGCGATCTTCAAACTTTCCCCACATACGCCACTGATGATCCATCGGTCAACGGTGACACAGCCTCTATCCAGTCTCGCATTGGTCCCAAGGAATCGGCGAAAAAGCCCGAGATTGGAGAATTGGCTTCTGGTGTTGCTCCTTCGCGTAACACTTCGCCCACCAAGTTAGCCAGAAAGAAGGAAGATCCCAGTGAGGCAGCAGCGGCACCTATAGTGGCTGAGAAGTCTGAAAAGAAGAAGAAGAAGAAGGCTGCTGCTGCCGCCGAGGCCACCAAGACAAAGGATCCATCCGCCACTGTTGGTGTCGAACCTCTGCCAGCCCACTCCGCCGCTGCCAAGGAACTCGAGACTCTTGCCTCTTCTACTACAGCGATGGGGGCGACTCAGGCTGCCGAGCACGCAGTGCCTAGTTTCGGTTTCTCAAGTGAAGCTTTCAACAAACATATTCAGACCCTGCAGGGCAGTGTTTCAAGCGAATTTAACAAGAGCCTTGGCCATGAGTTTGAGAACCTCCATCGTCGCTTTGATGATGAACGTCGCAGCTGGGATGCTGCCTCGTCAGCCAAGCAAGACCAAGTGTTGCGCCTGGTCTCTAGCACGCTCTCTGACAACGTTGAGAAGAACTTGGCGCGAATTGTTTCAGCCAGTATCCAGACCGATGTTATTCCTGTCATCGCCGAGGCCACCTCTGCAGCAGTCAACAAGCAACTGAATGGTGCTGTCTCTCAACGGCTTGGAGGCGTGTTCAATGAGGAGTTGCGACAGGTTCTACCCAAGGCTGTCATTAATGCTATGCAGCAGCCACCTGTAGTGAAGGCTGTCTCAGATTCTGTCGCACAGAAGCTTGCACCTCGCATTGAGGCAGAAGTTACCCGGGTCATGCAGTCTTCGATTGGCCCCATGGTTGAGAGCCTGGCACATATTACAAAAAAGGTGGAGTCGGATATGGAACGCCACTTCCAGGCGCAGATTAACCATTACGAGGCCCAGCGCCAGAGTGATACCGCAAAGATTGAGGAGATGTCAGCTGTTCTACGTGGCTTATCCAAGACTGTTTCTTTGCTGGCCGCGAACCAGAACCACCAAATTCAGCCGAGCCAAAGCCCACAGCACGAGATCCCTCACCGTGAGACCTTGAACGTCAACAAGCGCTCCTCGATTAGACAGCCAAGTGAGAACCACGTGCGCATGCCGCAGCCGTTGCCTCAACCTGTACTTCAGCCTCAGGCTATCCAGGCCCAGGCCCTGGCTCCGGTTCCTGTCGCTTCTCCCGTCGCGCGATCCCCTGAAGAAATCGAAATGGGGGATATTGTGCAGCTTATAAATACTGGTCACTACGAGCAGGGCACTATCAAGGTTAGTTTCAATCACTTATATAGATTCGATATTCCTACTAACATTAAATTTCCTAGTGGCTCCAATCAAACCAGCAAGCTGACCTATTTGACAACTTCTTCGTCCACATATCTCCCACTTACTTGTCCCGACTTTCTGCGATCGTCATGCTCTCTGTGGCCGTTGCTGTCACCACTACCATGCAGACAAACATTGGCCAGCGCCTCCATTGGCTCGAGGTCGTTCTCCAAAACGTGAACCCCAGGGTATGCCATTATTCCATCTCAAGTATCTGTAACATATTCACTAACACTCTGGCATTTTAGGACACCGATCTCCGCGAAGTCGCACCTCGCATTTTGGACATCATGACCCAGCGCCTCAACACCCTGTACATGTCAGTCGTTGAGCGCAACCCCCACGACCCAATCCTGCGACTTATTTCACCCCTCGCCCGCCGTGCCCGTGAACTGCTGGCCAACCTGTCTTAAATTGCGTTTTCTCTCCTTTTTGCAAGTCCATGAATTCGGAATCACGATGAGTTCACGATCTCGATACGGACCCATTAACGGCGTTATCAATTTTCTTTTCTGTATGACCTGTAACGATATCGAAGGAATGACAAAAACGAAACACAAACACCAAAAAACAAACACATGACTTCGATGAGAGAAAATGGTCTCTGGTACCCTTCGAAATGGAACAGGTTATCTTGGTTATCAGGTCAAAAACACCTTGACGAGGTTATGAAGTTTCCTTTAGTTAGGGCATGGAAAACGGATGTCCGGGCATATTTGATACCAATGCACACCACTTGTATTTGCTATTCTTCTAAGAGCATCTTCTATGGTCTAGGCATGGTGTGGGGGCTTGTAAAGCTTCGTTCTCTCTTGTATCTATCTAGTTCTTGTACTCTTGGATTTCCCATATTTATGGCATAGCGTTTTTATGAGACTTTTATCACTTGAAATTCGGTGTCTATAGAGATGCTTTTAACTCTCAACACTTGCGGCATCATCATCACCTGATATTAGAAACCTCATGAAGCCATGAGTATATACCACTTACAAGCAAACTGTGTCAATTTCTATATAAAAGAGATTCAAGTTGGAACATCCAGAATAACAAATGGTGCAATACTCGCCAACTTCTCATGAGTCTCCATCAGCTCGCGCTGTGGGTTGGACTGAGAGATAACACCAGCCCCAGCTTGGATCCAAGCACGATTCTGATCTTGAAAGACAGTACGCAAAACAAGTGCAGCTTCAAACGATTCGCTATCTTCGATCATGATTATAGCACCAGAGTACAGCTCTCTCGGTTGATCCTCCAGGCGCTGGATAGCCTCGAGAGCGGCATGCTTTGGAATACCAGATGCAGTAATTGACGGGAATAGAACATCAAATGCATCCCACATATCCTTCTCGGGTGATAGAATCCCAGTAACACGAGACCCTAGATGCTGTACAGACCCACGTGTTCGGATCGACATCAAATCTTCAACCTTGACTGTATCCCGTGGGCAAAGTTGTTGGAGCTCGGTGATGGCCTCTCTTACCGATATCACATGCTCAACAATTTCCTTCGGGTCGTCCAGGAGCTCTTCTCGTAGCTTCTCGACTTCTTCTTTGGTTCCGATATTTGATCGAGTGCCAGCCAGTGGCTCGGTTGTTATCCTTCTATTATTCACTGATACCACCAGCTCCGGGCTAAATCCTGTTGCCCGGTAGCCTGCATGGTTCAAGGAGAAACTCCGTGCAGGGTTATTGGAACGCCGGCCACTAAGAAGAGTGGCTGGCATATTGACTTTATGTGGAATTTCCACCGTGCGAGATGGAATCACTTTTTTGTAATAGCCTGCGGATATATCAAAGAGAGCATTCTCAATCCTCTCTATGTAATTCACTCTATCTTCGGTGTGGATGGGTTGGGCATTCTGAAAGGGAGGGATGCCCGTGCTGTTCTGGATCGAGTCGTATAGAGCTTTCACTTCCTCGTCGACACCTTTCAAGGTAATCGTATGTCGGTGAAGAGCAAGTTCAATGCGGGGAACAAATAGGGCTAGAAGAGGCCAGTTGCCAGGCGTGTATTTTTGTTCAAGGATATGTGCAGCGTAGTTGAATCCAGCTTGGCCAAATATCCTGAACCCACTTGTCAAGTTATTGGTAAACTCTCTCGCGATATCGGCAATTGAAGATCCATCAATGGAGCGCGATTCTTGACCGGATTCGTTATTAACCGTCACAGTCTGTCCTTTGGAGTCAATCACCAACGATGACCGACTTCCAATACCAATATACCAATATTCTCCCCGCTCGTATGCATAATAGTCATCTTTTTTGTGTTTTGATAGCACTTCAACAACAGTTTCTAAGACGTCGGCTTGGCTGGTGAAGGTGATGGACATTTGAGACATTTTCAGTTACACATGTAAATCGATAACCTTAGGTGTGTGGTTGTATGTTCAAAAGAGGTAGCTTCAAATATTGAAACTCCAAAGGTAGAGCAATATAAAAGCTACAAAACACACTCCGGAGTCACGCTCAGAAAGATACAAATCAGCAGAATCCTTGTGCAACAATAATATATTGAAAATCTGCATATCTGTATCATATTCCTCAGCCGCAGCCTGGAATTTCAAGTGTGACGAGACGTAGTGTAACTACATAGGCACATAACCTTGGAATCTTTTGACGAAATATGTAAGATGACCTTTTACATGTTATATGGTGTCATGGGTTCTAATTTGGAGTCTCAAGACCCTTAATCATATACATATAAATCTACCAGATTTCATTCTTGAAAGGCAAGCTATTTACTCATTCCATCTAAAACACTATGACTCTGGAAGATGGATATGTTCTAGGTCGAGCTATTGAAGACTCAGTTAGGTGAGGTTGAATCTGTCTGTTAAGGTCCCCTCACCGAATGCTAATGGGGACCAGGCTAGATGCACAGCATCTGCTTTGGAAGCTTCATTCAGGCTTCGAGTTACATCCCGATATCCCCATACAAGAGGACATGAAGATTGCAGATCTTGGGACAGGAACTGGGTACACCTTTATCCATATCTATTTTCGAAGTTTGTACTAACCTCTCTTTCATAGAATTTGGATATTTGACCTTGCAGCACAGCTTCCGACAGTTCAAATACACGGGTTTGACATTTCCGACAGTCAGTTTCCATCAAAAGAGCTATGGCCTCGAAATATTACGTTGGGTCTTCTAAACTCTTTGGTTGATCCACCTTCGTCTTTACATGGTCAATATGACGTGGTGCATCTAAGAATGTGGGCTAGTAATTTACGAGGAAAGGATATATCATCATTGTCCCGTCACATCAAGCATCTGTTAAGTAAGACCCAAGCTAACTAGGTATACTCCTTTTACACAGTCTTATTATAGAAGCTGACATACAGGTTTTAGAACCTGGAGGCTATCTACAATGGGAGGAAGCTGATTTGGTACACCAGCATATCAAGGGTGTGAAAGCAGAAGATTTTGAGCGGAATATCAATGAAATATTCAAAAGGGCCAATCTTGACTATAGGTTTGTTACTTTGTTATCCCCTAGGTGGTCGTCAAAGAGTTATTAATAAATTTATATAGTTGGGCTTCGAATTTACCAGGCCACTTGCAGGAGGACTTCAACATTCTCCAATCGGAAACCGGTCGTTTTAAGCCTGAGCTGGTACAACTATGCACAAACACTTATCTGATGGCTCTCCGTGAAATACTTCATGGCATCAAGAGACCACTTGCCCATGATATGCTGGTTTCCACCAAGCAAGAGGTAGCGCTCTATCAACTACAAAACACAAAGAGCTGTATTTACAACTGGTCCCCTGTGGTAATATTGGCACAAAAGAAATGAAGAAATCTAAAATATTGATATGATTCGAGATTACCAATAGGATTATTGACCATGTATAAATTTGAATAAATCATATAAACAAAGCCGAGTTCATTGAGCTGAATATGCAGACCCATAGGCAGAACTCCGATAATGTTGCTGAAATGGACTACAGAAAACAACATAATTATGCACGCTGTCTAGAACGTGCAATGAAAGAAGGACATATAATGACCCATGCAACACTTCGCTCAGCTAAGAAATTGGATGAATCCAATCAAAGCAAAGCATAGCCGCCTAAATTCAATCAAATCCTCAGGTGCAACTAGGACTAGGGCTTGTCCTCCCCGCTTCTAGTCTGATGAATGACTAGGTGAACAGGTATTTCAGGCCCACTGGGCTGACCCAAATGAACAGGTATTTCGGGCTCACCGGGTTGGACCAGGTGAACAGGTCTCTCCGGCTCACCAGACTGACCCACGCCGGGCTGGTGGGACGGCGAGCGAGAACGGATCACCGAATGACCAATTCCAAAGATTAGCGGGCGGCGGAACCCACGCTTGCGGCTGCGGTAGCTCACATCCTCTCCCGTTGTGAGAGGTGTGGCCGTGCTGTGCGTGTGGCTAGTGTTCGAGATGGGGACCGGTTCGCGCTCCTCGTATGTGTTGGTGCTGATGACGCTAGAAATGGTTGCTGGGAGGTTATAGCCAGCTTTTCCAATGGGGACTGAGAGGCCATGTACGACCTAGATTTGGTCAGGAAATGAATAAGACGGGAGGATATAAGGATTTGGTTATTTTGTGGGTGGGGGGGGGGGGGGGGGGGGTGTTAGAGTTGGACTCACTATACTGCAGATTACAAGAAACCAAACCACAACCTGGGTGGTCTCCATGACTTGCTTTACGTCCTCTGGGACTTGTCCATCGACTTGGATCTTGCGCAGGAATTCAAGACTGACTGATAGGTAGAAGATTGCGCCCACTCCTATGGGACCGAAGAAGCCGACGAATGCAGCCTGGGAGACAAGCTCGATCTGTGGGATCCATTTGTGCATGGCGAATACAATTGGGATGCGCCGGACTAGGAGGATCAATATCCCAAGGAAGATGAGCCGATGGATTGGAATCACGCCGTTGTTTATAAAGGATGACCATGGGCAGACCGCTCCAAACCACATGAAGACAGACAGGTTGAGAAGCATGTCGATTGTGGGTTGGAGGGAGTCGTCCATTGTTTCAAGCCGGAACCAGTCACTATCTCTGTCAGCATTCGTGATATCACAGCCTGCGTCGAGGTGGCCTACTCTTGTGTGAATACGTTTCCAGCAATGAAACAAGCAAGAAGATCATCTGTTCCGATCAAACCACAGGTTCCCACGATGAACAGCTGTTTGATGGATCAGCAAAGTATCATTTTTAGCTTTGAGGTAAACTCACTGCAAGAGCAATAGCGAACACTAAAAAGCTCTCCCGGTCAACATAGCGCTTCTCCTCTGCCCAATGCAACAACTTCCTCGCAATCCAACCAACCAGGGTTCCATATACGATACTCAACAGAATGGTATATGCCCAGGTCTCATAGAACCACAGGGCCATCGCCTTTCCCGCGCCACCACTATAGCTTTGGCTTCCCATCCCAGTATACTGGACAAGATAAATCGCAAAGAAAAGGAACGGGTAACCAAGGCCATCATTGGCACCAGATTCAGCGATGATAATCCTCTGTAACTCACGCGGAACATGTTTATCGGCAAACTTGCCCTTGACAATGGAGTTGGACAGAACAGGATCTGTTGGAGTCACGCATGCGCCTATGATCAGGGCATGAAGGAACTTGAAGTTCGGAACCATGGCCCATATAACTAAGCTACTGCACATCCACATGGCAGCCATGCCTGGTCCAAGGAGTAGCCCTAGGCTCCGCCATTCGATCTGTAGATACCGCTTTGGGAGTTGGACCCCGGCTAAGACTAGCTGCACGCCCAGCACTAGGCGGGTAAAGTGCAAAGTGATTGCCTCAAGGTTTTCTTCAGAGTGAAATGCATAGTCTTCCGGCCTGATGAAATTGGCTGCATGAGGGGAGAATAACACTCCGGCTAGCAGGGAAATTACTATTCCCTGTTAGCAAATAAGGTGATACCGGCGGAGGACATAACACTAACATGCTTCAGATAGGTAGAACTGCTCCTTGCAAAGGTAGGATACTAGCCCGAAGAGGGAAATAAAACCCCCAAGCGTCGCGCAGACGATGTTGAAGTTGATGAGAGCGAGTGTCGGCATTTTGTTTTGCACGATGCTCCTTGAAATGTTCCGAGTTATAGCTAAGAGCGATGAGCCCCAAATATGTCAATCAAAGGAGTAAGCTGGATTTCAATAAGAGTTAGACCAGTGAAATCCGAAGTCTTGGATGACTGTATGTCAAGGTTGAACTAGCACAAGCAAATGTTATTGAATCATAATTTGAATTTCCTGTGTGATTGTAGACAAGATCATCTGGATGAATTGAAACTTTGAAACAAACAATAGCATTTGTTTGGGGGAGCTATAGAGTGTGAGGAGGGGAAGATGCAAAGATAAGAAGAGAAAGGAGAACTCTGGTGGTGGGAAACATCCTAGGTGGTCTTGGCATCTGACAGTACGATATACTTGAAAAAAATACAGGACTATATATTATACACATTGACTATTTCATTATTCCATATTAGATGTAAAATTTTTCTTATTTTGTGCATATGCCTAGAAATCCTCATCAAATACTTCATCAGGCACCTCTTGGGCCACATGTAGAGCCTCTGCCTTGGCAGATACCCCCCTTTGGGCTCCATTGACGGCTAATTTATCGGCTTCTTCATTACCAGGGTCTTTATTATGACCTTTAACCCATTCAAACAAGGTCTTCACCTTGAGGTCATTGCGTTCTTCGATTTTGATTAGAATCGACTCAACCAGATCCTTGTTCTCAACCGGCTTCTTGTCCCGGGTCATCCAATTGTTGCGACGCCAGTTGATAAACCATACGGTAACACAATCAATCGAATATCGGCTGTCGGTGATTATGGTTACATCGCGGTGCCGAGGAGCAATGTCAATCGCTCGAAGGATCGCGGTCAATTCAGCGCGCTGGTTCGTTTGTCGACTGCCTTTGAGTGGCTCCGATACATTTCTGCTGGGATAAGTGACGGAAGTTAGAAGGAGTGATGGACAACAGCCCAACGGGCGAATGTACGAACCTCGAATCACCAGGCCCGAAGTATACCCCTACCCCGGCCGATGCTAATGGGGTGCCATTCCTTAATGAACTCCCATCGGTGTATATCCGGAGCATACCCGGGATACCTGTTGATTGTGTTTTTGTCGCCGCCATCTGGGGGGCGGTCTTGTACATCACCTTTCCAGTGGCTGGGTCTAAGATGACGTTGGGGTCAAATCCATCCTCAGCTCCTGTCGGCAATGGGCCGTCGCCTGGCGCAAACTCGACCCCTTCTGCATCTTTTGGTTTTTCGGTCGTTATCCCATGAGGCTCAGGTGCCACGCCGAACCCTACTGGGGGTTGGGTCTGTCCTTCTTGTACAAACTCCTCTGCCTCTTCACGAGTGGAGAACTTGCGATATCGAGGTCGCGGAAATCCACGAATCTGCTCCTGTGCCGTTGTCCAGTCTGTGTATACTCCAGTAACTCGGCCCCTTTGGATTCCATAGAATCGTGTATTCTCTGAGGTCTGCGATGCGGCTGGAAGCTTGACGCCGTTCAGAAACGCGTTGGCTGCTTCTTGGGAGGGAAATGATTGGACTAAGGAGCTTATGCGTAAGTCTCGGGCCAAATTGGCGCGCCTGTTGGAAGAACCACTGCGAGGAGCGCACTCACAAATTGCTCCCTTGAATCCTGTTATTTGAGCCAGGCAGTCATTCCACCCATAGTAGATACCCGGTTTATGACCCGCCTTGACGGCATAATATTTGGCCGGGGCATTTCTCTTGCGCTTTGTGCCTGCGGTCGGCGAAGGAGAGGTTTTCGAGCCTGGCGAAGCTTTGGGGACCGGGCTCGGCGAGGGCGTAGTCTTATTCATCGCGGATTGATCGTCGCTGGGGTTCGAGTGGATGATTGTGGGGGTATTTAAATGAGGGCATAGGCTTTTGTAAGTCCCAACTAGAAATTCACGATTCGACGTTGCATTTGTGGCTGGGCGGACAGGAATCAATCGAGGAATAAATCGCGGGCAGCTCAGAAGGGAACACCAAGGTCCCAACTTGAAGGCTGACCAAACACGGCCGTGAATCTTGGTTTATCTGGAAGGTGTTTAATTGTAGGGGAAGGGAAATGGAGAGGTAGAGACGGTCACTTTGAAGGTCGAGGAATTGAAATTGAAAATAAAGAGGGGGGTGGAAGAGGAGGGGGGATACTCAATTCGGCCTGTTGCCAGCGCTTGACGATCTTAATCTGACACCAATTTATGATTTCAAAGGGGGAAATTATTCTTGCTTGTATTTAACTTGCTAGGTTATTGGTTTGGATTGGCCTTGTTTTTATGTATGTTTGTGCTGATTCTCATGTTCGTATATATTTCAGATCCAACCTTGGAAGGCCAATATCTTGATTCCATGCCCAAAAAAAACAAGAGACACAAAATACTAGATACTAGATACACAGAGCTAAATTCCCGCCTTCAACCTATCCAATACCACCCTCACATCCTGCTGGGTAGACTGCACGACATGCTCAACAGAAACTACTGCATTGATACTTCCAATACTCGCACCGCTATCGAAACCATTAACACAGAAAGTCCAGGAGGTGCATACAGTATAGAGCTAGGATACTCACGCCCATATAGTCCTCCGTTGATGTTCGCCAGCCCCTTTAGCCTCATTGTGTCGTCGAATGATTTCTTCGTCACTGACCCCCTTTTGATAATCCTCGTAATTGACACCGATAATAGCCCTGCCATCATACTGCCTCGGAAAGAGATCAGTTGATTGGAATACGTCATGTCGGATGGACTTGATAGTTGAGACTCCACCATCGTTTCTTGATACAATGGTCTGTTTAATCGCAGACGGAGCAGGGCATTCCGAAGTTGCAACAAACTGGACTTAATTAGCAAGGATCCGTGCCTACGAGAAGAAGCAAGACTCACCCTTGTGCCCATAGCAATTCCATCCGCGCCTATTTCCGTCAATCCACTGCAACAATGAAGTATGGAACAACCCACCTAGGCCGAGAGCAGCAACACAGCCCCTCCCATCCACAATACCCCCAGCTGCCAGAATAGCAATGCTTGTATTCCGAGCCCTTGACAGAAGATCTCGCACCTCAGGTAAGAGCGATATTAAGCTAGCACCCTGGGCCCACTGATGTCCTCCTGCATCGGTTCCTTGAACTACTAGAACATCCACCTCCTGCTGAAGTGCTTCTTCTGCAGCTTTGATAGTTCCTACCTGGACAAATATTTTGATATCCCAGTCACTCTCCTGGGCCTTCCGAATGGCTCGTATGATTGGAAGATGATCAGCATCAGTCCGAGGGAAGGACAGCCAGACTGCCGCTACTCGATGTTTCTGGAGAATAGGAATGGCATTGTCAATGAGCCCATCTGGCTGGAAAGTAATGAGGCCGACACCAAGGGGCAATGGTTGATCATTGATCAAACTGAGGGTGGAGCGGGCATTTGCCAATTGATCGTCCAGGTCTAGAAGCTGGGTGGATTCAGATCGGAAATTGAAACCTCCACCAATGAAGCCTATAATGGTCAGTCTAATGTCTGCCACCGGGTCGGTTTAGTATACCAAATCCTCCGGCCTTTGTGACAGCAGTTGCTAGGCTGACATCGGCAAATCCAAACATTGGTGCATTAGCAATGAATGGAGCTGTTGCACGAGGAAACCATTGTAGGATGTTTGCCATTGTAATATTGAGCTATGAAGGGAATAGATCCTAAGATGCGGGGAAGATATGGCGACCTGTGTATCTATATGTAGAGTAGGTAAGGTAGCCTTTAATAGGTACATATTACTAACACTTTGGCTCTAAATATTTACAAAAGACATAATATTGAGATTATAAGATGGATATTTAGATATTTTTAACTAAATATCTCTTTGGTCAAATCCATCGAAATTGAGGAATAGTATTACATGGTTATAATGGTCTAACAGGCCTTGTCCTACACTAACTAGTTTCCTGGTCTAGCGGTTATGATTTTCCGTTAACAATTGCTTCAAGCAAGTGTTCCGGAAAGGTTCTGGGTTCGATTCCCAGGGAAACTATTTTTTTATATTTTTTTTTCTCTCTCTCTCTTTTTCTCTCAGTTGTGTGTGGTGGCTTGTAGGTGGAGATGGGCTAGGGTGGCGTTGATATAGTGGACCATCAACGGGATGGTGTACTTTTTGGAGAAAGAGAAAAACATGATTGGATATAAGACAATAAGAATCAAGGTAGTCAAAGTATGTTCGAGATATAGACAATTACATTTGGAGTATATAACTTTGCTCCTACAGTCTCGCACGGAATGCGTGCCGTAAGGGTTCGAGACCAGTAGGACCATCGTAGATCTGCTGCTCGGTAACGCGGGTATTGAGCTAAAAGAAGAGTTAGTGGACTAAAAGACAAAGTGACGAGAAGATACTTACATGTTGGAGCCCTAATTGATCAATCCGCTCCACTCCAAGCAGCCGCATGCAAGTCTTGATTTCATCGTTCAGAACTACCACCGAGTTAGAAATAGAACCACATCAAATACCTAGTCAACTTACTCTGCAATGTTCGACGAACACCGTCGACTCCGCCCGCTGCTAAGCCCCATAGAGCCGAGCGTCCTAGGCCAACTGCCTTCGCGCCTAGGCAGAGAGCCTTGACGACATCTGTGCCACGACGGATACCTCCATCCACATACACCTCAATCTTGTCGAAGACCTCAGGGCAGTATTTACGAATTTCCAACAGAGTATGGACGGCCGGAGGAGCAGTGTCCATGGCGCGTCCTCCGTGGTTGGAGAGGATGATACCTTTAACTTGAGGTGCATGGAGTGAGGCGAGGTATGCATCTTCGTGAGTCTGCAGACCCTTCAAGACAACAGGCAGATCCGTCTGAGTGGCAAGCCAAGCCAAAGTTTTCGTCCATGTCAAGGAGGGATCGGTGCCTGCAAATAATTGCTGGCCAACACCTCCAGACGCTTCGGTAGGCTTAGGGATATCGTTTGACGAGCGCTCAGCGGCTTTCGCGCCAGTGGGCACAGCTGCAGTCTGTCCGGTCATACCAGCTCGCTCATCCTCCTCGCGTTTTCCTGGAACCGGGGCGTCGAGGGTAAGAACAATGAACTTGATTGCCTTGAGCTTCTTGATGCGTGCAAGCATTGTCTCGCTCTTTTTGCGGTCGATCTGAACATAAAGCTGCCAGCCGAAGATTTGATCCGGGGAAGCGTCTTTGACGATCTGTTCTGGTGTCATGGAAGCGTTATTGGAGATGATTTGCATGGCTCCAAAGCTACGACATGCTTCTGCGATGCCGGCCTCACCTGATGGGTGACCTAGACGGGCCATCGCCGCAGGAGACACGTAAATAGGCGTTTTAAGTTTATGGCCAAGGACTGTTGTGTCCAGCTCACACTTTGTGCAATCCACAAAAACTCTAGGTCGCAAGAGAATGGACCGGTAAACCTCATTATTGAAATTTTTGCTGATTTGGTCGTCGGATGCGGAGTAATAGTACGCCCAAGCCTTCTTGCTCACTTGCTTAGTAGCCACCTCCTCAATTTCATCCAAGTTGAGAAGATTCTCCATAGGCGGTGGACCCTCAATCTCTTCCTGAGGTTCGGATGCCTTCTCCTTTGGTAATGTGTCGGCATTGATTGTTCCCAAGCATGCCTCGGGCTTCAGCCCCTCCTCTAATGTACCTGGCGGGTGAATAGGATCATACTCCTCGGTGGCATCCTGGCCCGCAAGTTTCAAAATGATCTTTGCACCGCCAGGATGGCTGCCCAGGAAATCGGTGACCTAGATGAGAGTCAGACGTGGCCAGGGAAGGTATGTGCCATACACCATAAGGACCTTATAGCATGAGACCGTACATCGTAAACCTTGCCATATAGAACCACCCAACAACTTTCAGGCGTGTTGTGCTTTGCGACTATTTCTTTAGTCAGTCGAAATATCCCGCGTGGGGGTTCACATGGACCAGCGCGGAAAACCAATACCTTCTGTCACATCGAATACCTTTGCCATTTTTACGGCGCAAGGATGGATTGAGTGATTGTGGGAGGGCTATGGAGATCGACACAGAGTATTTGAGAGAGACAATGGGAAAGGGTGAAAATGCGAGAGAAGTGAATTGGAGAAGATACCCGTGAACAACTTGGAGAAACTCTGGAAAGTGTGGGGAACGTCGGTGGCTGGTTTTTCCATATTGGGCATTTTCGATTACCGACTCAGAAGGGATTGGAATTGACTCCAGGTTATTGGTGGAAGATAGTTCTAGTTCTACTTTGTACAGTACTTGGTAGTTGTGAATCATTTTTTGTAAAGAATAATTAAAGAAGCCAAAGAAAATAGAATACAATATATATCGTGTAGTATGACATCGTATACATATATTATACGATCAGCTCTTTTGAGTCCCACGTGAGGGCTCAAAGGTGTCATCCGCATCTTTTTTCCTCCCCGGGACTCTCTCACATCTCCGGAACCCAACTTCCTTGAAATTTATGAACAAGTTCGGATATAATTCATTTTTAATACATTCACTGACATCTTTTATTTAATTCGGAGATTTCGTCACCATGTTTGAGGTGTGTTTACCTAAATGTTCTCCCAAGCCGTCTACCCCATATTCTTCATCTCTCCTGTCCTATCCCCACCATGTAGTCTGATTGTCTCAGCGTCGTGCAGGTGACCGTTATCGCCTTCGAATGCATCGAGCCTGTTCGGCAGTGTTGACCTCAGATGAAATGGTTGAGGTGCGCGCGGCCCAACGCACCTTTGAGGGGGCCTATGTCCGAACCGCTCTTTCTCAGTTCTCCTTCGCCCTCGTTGTACTCAAAATTTTCACCGCCGAATTCTACAGTATTGGGGCTCTTTTCGCGATATATGGCACGGGTGTTCTCATCATCGGACTCTTTCGCCGCTCGCAGGGAAACAGGCAGTTCTTCTCTGAAGTAGGAGAGGATGGGATCCATCGACACAAATTCCGTACTAGTGGAAATGCGGTCTTGGTCTTGACAGCACTGAGCATTGCAGCATACGCATGCTTGATTGGCTTGACCTTGAACTTGAGCAACTGATAAGGAACATTCTGCGTGGATGCATGCGATCTATTCACACCGTATCCAATATCCCTGGAGGCTATCTTCTAGGCATGCTATCTGTGATACCCCCCTGCGTTACCGCCAAGCGCCAAGGATTCCGCATCTGACCACGGGATATGGGTTACCATTTCGGGGCTTACGCCAGCGGAGATCAGTGTGCAGCAACGGACACCTACAGTTGGTCGGAGATCAATCTGTTGTGTCGAGCACCGAAAGTGCCCAAGGAAGCCGAGTATGGATCAGCCCGAGCGGTGAGACTCAGGTCACACAAGGTGTTCCAATAATTATTGTTTGATCCACTAGAGGCTGAGTTCGATTCTAAATATGGAGTAGATGTGTGCTTTTATTGAGGTGGTCATATCTGGAATCAAATGGGGTATGCGCTGACACCCCTTACCAAGACGGGGAACCCACGGTTATAAACATTTTGGTGGAATATGAGGATATTGCGAAGGTGAAATTGAGTATTGTTCGATGCACCGCCGTGTTTTCTCGAATCTGTACACCGTACTCCGTAGTTACTCTGTATGCTTTAGCCAAGCATTCTCTATTATAGAGAGATAGGACAAGTGCATCTTGCATAGTTTTGTGAGACCTTCCATCAATGCAATGTCTATAAGAACCGTTTAATCCTGATCTGATCTGGATAACTTGCATCTCCATATCATTATCAATCCTATTTCTCTTTCCCCTCAAGCTGTATACACTTCCTTTGACATCATATATGGGCGATCTTTAAGCCATCGATCCACCTTGTAGACTAAGTCTAATCTGCAGCTGCGTGATTTCATCATTTCAAAGCATTTCAGACTCAAGGTCGTATTTTAATTGTTCCTTTAGTTCTTTCATGTCCTTGGCACTGTCTATCCTTGAGTGATATTGTACTCCCACATGCTGGACAAGGGGGAAAAAAAGCACACCAAAAAAATTCCTTGCACTAAAAAGAACACCAGCTCGAAAGAAACCCCCTCTTTCAACCCCTTAAATATCTGAAATCTACTTGAATATCCTAGGTCAATACCAGTGACGTCTGGCGTTCCCGTTGGTTGACTCATCCAAACCCTCCGTGGACACTTTCTTTTCTCCCCTCTCTCACACCAACTTTTTTCGTCTTCGAGTTGACCAGGTGTGACACAAGCCCTTATCAACTTCTCCATGTGAGAAAGCTCTGAAAAAGAGTAACAATACCTTTTTAATAAAACGCAGACACACGGAACATCCCCCCAGGGGATGGCGCAACATTCTAGCATTGCTCGGTCGGCCATCATGACGTCGGCCACTTCGCCCGAGGCGGGAGATCAGAGGAATATTATTCAACCCAACGGCGCGTCTAACGGATCGGGATCGGGAAAAGAAGGAGCTCTTATGCCTCCGAAATCTGTGGTCAACCGAGCGCTAGGTAATGACCTGCATTCCGATTCCCACAAATCTTCACTGCCGCCCAAGGGCGGAGTCGGAACGGCTTTGACAGACACTCCGGTTTCTACCGCACCTCCGTCTCCACAGATGTGAGTATTTGTTTCTTTTTTTTTTTGTCTAGAACCTTTGGAATTCACTATGAGCCTATCAGAACGAGGCTTGATCAATATGATACACCTTGGAGCCAGTCCCGATGCTCTCTGAACGCCTTATTCTGAACTAATCTACCTTACCCCGGACCCCAAACCCCAATCGTTGTTCTTACGTTTGCTGTCGTGTGACTTGTTTTGGATGCGCTTGGCAGGCCGTGACTAATATGATCATCGTAGATTGGGCCTTTACCACCCTCCTGGTACTCCCGGTCGAGTCCGAGCAACTACTCTCGATATCCCCGGATTGACCAAGTCCAAGGTGTCTCCAGATGGCCGCATTGCACAGCGGGATATCGGTGCAAAGCTTGTCATTGTTATGGTCGGCCTCCCGGCGCGAGGCAAAAGTTACATTACCAAGAAGCTGGCCCGCTACTTAAATTGGCTCCAGCATGACACCGAAATCTTCAATGTTGGACAGCGTCGCCGTGTGGCCGCTGGAAAGTCCCCATCACCCGCCCCGCTTGGTCGTGGCCAGGATCGGAAACCAAGTGCTTTCCACAAGGATCTCGTTGACTCAGTGCGCCGGTTGAGTGTCAGCGTTGGGACGACTTTGAACCCAGCAGACGCCTCCCCGCCAGAGAACGAGGCACCCCTTCCCCCTCCAGTGGTGCCAGCCAAAATTCTCGTGAATGGAGAGGAGCCCGAACAAGTTTCTCAAAACGGAAGTACTGTTGTGCCCTCGATCGACGCGGGCATTGCACAATCCCGTGAGAATGAAGAAGCTATCAACGAAGCTTCGCCTGAACCCATGGACCAGACCGCCAACTTCTTTGACCCCCAGAATCAGCGTGCCGTCAAGATGAGAGAGCAGGTGGCGCTGGACACTCTTGATGAGTTGCTTGAGTATATCTTGGAGGAAGGTGGCAGCATTGGCATCCTCGATGCGACTAACAGCACCATGGAACGCCGCAAAGCGATTGTTGACCATATTCGCAACCGCGCTGGCCCCGAGCTAAATATCCTGTTCCTTGAAAGCAGCTGTGTGGATCAGGATTTGCTCGAGGCTAACATGCGACTGAAACTTTCTGGTCCTGACTACAAAGGCCAGGACCCAGCCGAGGCACTCGAAGATTTCAAGAAGCGTGTTGCTCTCTACGAAAAGTCGTACGTGCCTCTCGGTGAATATGAGGAGAAGCATCGTATGGCTTTCATCCAGATGATTGATGTCGGTCGTAAAGTCGTCGCTCACCAGACCCATGGCTTCCTTGCTTCTCAAGTCGTCTACTACTTGCTTAATTTCAATCTCTCTCCACGCCAAATTTGGATCACACGACACGGCGAAAGTTTGGACGATGCTGCAGGCCGTATCGGTGGTGACTCTGATCTCAGTGAGAACGGGAGAAGGTATGCCAAGGCGCTGGCTCGCTTCGTAGATCACCAACGGAAACAGTGGGAGGCATATCAGCGACAAAAAGACCTTATCAAGCACTTCCCCCCCCGGCCCGGTGACAGCACACCTCCCAACCCTTCTTACATTCCCCGGGAAGGGCCGCGCAACTTCTGTGTCTGGTCCTCAATGATGCAACGCTCCGTTCAAACTGCCGAATACTTCAACGAAGATGATTACGATATCAAGCAGATGAGGATGCTGGACGAAATCCACTCCGGCAAGATGGAAGGCATGACATACAAGGAAATTCAAGAGCAGTACCCGGAGGAGTACTTTCACCGTAAGAGAGATAAGCTCTTCTACCGATACCCCGGACCAGGTGGAGAAAGCTACCTCGACATCATCAATCGATTGCGCACAGTCATTGTTGAGATAGAGCGTACTACAGACCATGTGCTCCTGGTTGGGCATAGATCCGTTGCCCGTGTTCTCCTGGCTTACTTCCGTGGCCTGAAACGTGACGAGGTTGCTGACCTCGATGTCCCGATGGGCGTCCTGTACATGCTTGAGCCCAAGCCATATGGCGTAGACTTCAAGGCATACCGCTACAATCCTGAGAGCGACTGGTTTGATTACCTTCCCGATTACGAACTGCACCAGGTCAAAGCACAGACGACCCACTGAATACCCATACAATTTGAACATGGAGTTCCCAAATTCTATAACTTGCTACGATCCATCACGACTTCTTTCCTGTGTGATGACTTGGTCGAGCCTTGAGGCTCTGGTCGTTTTTACAGTCGCCGCCACTACACGTTCTCCACTTTTCTGCTTCTTACTGGGCTTGTATCCTTGATTTCTATTTCCCGTTTGCATCTTGATTGTGTATTAACTATTTTTTCCTCGACTTTTTTTGGGACTTTTTTTTTACAGGCGACCCAGACACTCGTTGCATGATAGGCGTTAATTTGTGTACTTTGATGACCTCTGGGATGCTAGCTTTGTGAGCTGGAAATGATAGGTCATCAAGAACGTCTTTAATACAGATATCTCTCAACCCACAAATACACCAAGATAGAATCAGTTCTTTTGCTTGGTAGGCTGAATAGTTTTACTTGCTGCGGCTTGTCGATAGAATAATGCAGAAGATCATAACAACATTAAAACCATTCAACATGACCGTAGGACAGAAAATTCTTGAGCTAGGATTCTATGATCCTTCATTCCTTCTGCTCAGCCTTCACCTTCTCAAAGATGTCCATAAAGACCTCGGGTGCATCTGCCCCTTCAACGTGATATCTCTCTTGTATAGAGATATACGGCACACCAGAAACCAAGCTCCTGGCGGCCGCTTTAGCCTCCAAACCAACCTCCTGAGCACCAACATCCTCATCCAATATCTTCTTCACACTCTCCCGATCCAATCCCGCCCCAACACCCGCCTCCAGAAGAACCTTCAGATCGGTAATATTCTTCTCCTCCTCAAAATAAGCCCGAAACAGACGCTCTGCAACCCTCGTTTGCAACCCACCAATAACACCACTATCCGTCCCCTCCTTCCTAGCCACCTCTTCAGCCTCCCGTTGTCCAGCATACCAAAGCAAGCGATGCGAGTCCCGAGTGGAACCAGTATTCCCGCCAAAACTAAACTGGATACCTTCGCCCTCACCCGCAGCAGATAAGCGCGCGAAAATCCCGGCCGAGCGATCAGCTCCGAATTTCTGTTTGTACATCTCGGCTTTGTTCACGCCGGGATACTCGGCTGCTGCCGGGTTGAGGTAGAATGCTTTCCAGTGCAGGCTGAATGTGTCTGCTGGGTACTTGGCTTGGTGCGTTGTTATTGCTCGTGAGATTCGGCGGTAGCCGACATAGCACCACTTTTTTTTGTCCCGCTGGTTAGTTTGTGGATTTGGGGTGATTTTGTGGATGGGTATAGATCTGTGCATATGGTTCGAATACTTACGGGGCAGACGGTGTCTGAGATTATCTGGATCTGGAAATTCGTCATTGTATCAAGGATTTCAGGAGAGAGATATGAGATGTTTGGATTTAGGATATCTCTGCTTTCTTATATTTTGGGAGGCGGGGGGGGGGGGGGGGGGGCGAGTTGTTGTCGTTTTGATGTCGGGGATGAAATCGATTTGTAAGCGTTCCATTGAGATACCTATTCGGGATTCGGGGTTTCAGGGGTTCTCTCTCATGTGAGATCTCGAGTCTTCTAAAGGGTGTTGATTCTCACGTATTAGCTGGGATGAGATATTAGATAAGAGAATATAAATCACAAATGTCCCAGATGTTATTTTGAGGTATACGCTATTATCCAATAATTACACTCAAGTTCCACATGTTCAAATAAAAAAGCCCCGGAAGGACTATTACAAAATCTGCTGGGCCTGGTTCAAGTTACCCCATGAACCCCCCGAGCTGCTATCGAAAACAGCCGATGAATTAGAGTGAACAGGCGCATCGGGAAACGGGTGATTGCGGCCCTTTAGTGCCGAGGAATACTGTTAACAAGTTAGCGAGAAGGCTGAGTTAAAAGGAAACGACTGGGAAATCTAACCTTGAAGACAAAATTTAGGACCAAGGCAACTGCCAAACCAATGCAGACTACGATAGGACCGAGCATGTTGTCTAGGTCCTTTCCACTCCGCTGGCGGATGAGGCGGGCCCGTCTCTCATATATGAACCATCCCCAGGCTGCGGCGAAGATGGCAAAGAATGTGTAGACGACGGCTAGTGCCTGGGCTACCTGGTTATGTTTGCCAGCAGCATTGTAGAGGCCCAGTGATAAGCTCGACAGGAGAATACTGATGTGAAGCCATTTGATGAATGTGCGCTGGTTGGCAAGGTAAACCTTACTTTCTACACGAACGGGCCCGGCATCTTTGATCCAGACGCCAGGGTGTCGAACGCCAGGAGGTAAAGAGACAGATTCAGTTCCAAGCCAGCCCCGAGGAGACAGCCCTAATAGTTGAAAGATGGACTCGAAGCGAGTGAGCGGCTCAGCTTCTTCATGTGGTTCGGAAGCGGGTTCAGTATCATGGACCTGGGGCTCTGGGATGGAGGGACGTGGGTGTCGCGCTGCAGGTCCGGTGACTGCTGAGGATCTCCGTATGGCCGAGGGGGAGCTTGTATTAGAGTATTGGTGGTAAGGTGATCCGACCTGTGGGCGAACACCTGGACTACGCGCATCTCCCATGAAGCTACCCACTGCTATGTTCTCCTCCGCTCGTCGAGCCAGCCGCTCTTGCTCCTCATGGAATGCAGTTTCGGGGTCACGGCGAATATCGCTTTCAAGTTCACCAAGCCAGAAGGGAAAGCTGTTGACATGGTCTTCAAACAATGAGGCAACGCCGTGGACGAACTTAGAGAAGCGGGGAGCATCCTTGACAAGGTGGGAGACCATCAGGTCCTTGACCCACTCGGTGTTATGGGCCTTGCCTCGAAGCTGGATCTCGAGCAGAGCATGAGGGAATCGAGTGATCTCTCCAGTCCTGACACCATTGAAGGGATAAGTCATATCGGCATCATCCAAGTCGGTACGGTGCCACTCAGCCGGATCGCGGCATGGCCGTTCGCTATCGAGGGCATCTTCCCGAATGAGCGCAAGGTTGGTATCGAGGGAAATACGAATTCGGTCATTGCCGGGAATTTGGAAGGCGGTGCGCGTGTAGTTGGCTCGGAGCATGGGTTGCAGGTCATTGTCCTTGATGAATGACTGCAGCTCATCCACGTCCTTTTTCAAGGCCTCGGCGGCGGCGGCCGAATCTCCATTGTTCGAATCCTCCATGCGATGCAGCTTTTTATCGAAGCGGTACTCGCCGTCCAAAAATTCCTTAATGTGCTTGTCTTTGAGCTGTACCTTGACTTGTCGACTTTCGTCGTCGTCGGTGACAATCTTCTTTTCCAAGTGGATAGGAGGTTTGTCTTTCAGTGATCCCGTCCAGCGCAATCGCAAAGATCCGGCTTCGGGTGCTCGTGCGACCTTTTGATTGTAGAGATCAAATTGAGGGGTATCAAAATAGAGAGAAGTAATGGTGGGGTCTTCAGTGATGGTATCGAGGTCCTTGGAAGTTCCCGGCCTGTAGATAAGGACCGGCAATCGACGAAGAATGTGAGTCTTGACCTCCAAAACGTTGTCTGAGTGAACCCAGAATTTATAAGACGAATAGGTCTCACGGCCAAATCCATGCTCTGTCTCCCTTGGTTGCACGATATCATGACTAAGGGTCTCGCGAACGAAGGAGTACATCACCGAGAGTCGATGGACCAACGGCGAATAGTCCTCTGAGTTGAAAGGCAGTTGCGATAGTCGCACTTGGAGCAAAGGTTTCACCCGGTACCGGGCCCCTCGTTTGCGGTCATGCTTCTTTGCAGCCTTGAGGAAGCCAGTAAAGTTGATTCGGCTGTACTTTTCCAAGGCACTGACTTCCTTGGTGATGTTGTCAAGTTCTTGCAGAACTTCTGAAGCAACAGTCCTTTTCGTCTGTTCATCGAGGGTGGGCGTTTCTTGATCCGGAGTAGATGCCAAAGGTCGTAGTTTGACTTCACATGCTGTTGTCCGTTCTCGGAGTTGCTGCGATGTCTCTGCCTGGAAAGAATTTACCTTATCCAGTTCTACATTGAGTAGTTCCTGCACAAAAGCTTCCTCATCTTGCTCAGTCCATTGATCATCATCGGAGTCACTGGCGTCTTCTCCATTTCGGGTGACATCATTCTCTCTCAGCAAGGTCTTAAGCTTGGTGTAGTCAATGTACTTCCCTTTCCAGGGCGGGTACACCGCAGCACGGAGGGTTTTCCCAAACCGCATTTTGAGCCAGTCCGGTTGTAAATGGTGTTGCGTAGTTGTTACTCAAACACGGCCGGGGGGGAGGTGGGTGTGCACCTCTCTGATTAGGGGATTCGGAAGGGAGGAAGATATAAGAGAGAGGATTGAAATCAATTGATCTTCAATTAGAAGGTAGAAGGGGGGGGGAAAGAGGAGTTGATATATTTTAGTTGAAGATCCAAAAAACATGCGCAGACGTCCAAGGGAGAAAAATAGCTTAGCTTTTGAAACTAAGCGACGGATATGCCGTCCACGGGTAGCGCTTTCAGGAATTGAAAGCGTTCGATAGCCAGCGATAGACGCACGTGCTCGCTGAATTGAACCAACCAGAGTGCACAGCAATGGAATCGAGATTGACTTTGTATTAACTAATCCGGATAATATATATTCCGAGATATGTTATCTTACAAAGTACCCATACAAAGTACTCCGTACATACAGTATAGGTACAACATAGACAGGGGGCTAGACCTAGAATACCATCCCCCCGTCGGGATCACGAAGAGGTACGTGCATAATGGATTCTCCGATATCGAATAATATCACAATCTTTCCCGAGGTTGGATCTTTTAAACATCCAATACAGATTTAACGTACTTTGTACTCCATCAATACATATTACACTTGATGGAGTCCAAATCTACAAAAATCTCGGGTCTGTCCCATCATCTGCATGGCGTATTAACCGAACTACATCGTCAACCTTATCCTCATGTCCCAAACCCTCTAACTTGCAAGAAACGCGCCTCAGTTGCCTTGATTATTCGGGTCAGACCAACCTACGACCATTGGCCCAACTCAACCCCCGCAGAAAATATTTCTCAGCCAGCCCAACCAACCCAACAACGTTTAGATGAATTCTTTTCATACTCATGGGTCCAGCATGGCGAACCGGAGGTTTTGTTTATCAAGCGTGCTTCACGCGTGGGGGACCGGTGGACTGGCCATGTTGCCCTACCGGGTGGGAAGCGAGACCCGGAAGATGCAGATGATAAAGCGGCAGCTATCAGGGAAGCTTCAGAGGAAATCGGATTGGATTTGACAACGGACGATACCATTAGTGTGGGCAATCTCCCTGAGCGGGTGGTTACTACCAGCTGGGGGTCCGAACCGTATGAATGCCATTCGCTTTCGTTGCTGAGAACTAGATTACTTACTGACCTGGATGGTGTAGGTTGATGGTTCTTTGTCCCTTCGTCTTCCTTACGACTCGCAGCGACCCTTTGACCCTTAAATTACAGCCCACGGAAGTAGCATCAACACATTGGATTCCCCTGCGCGCTCTTCTATCACCATCGCTGCGGACTGTGGAATATGTGGATATGTCGCAGCGCTTCGGTCGACAAGGCGGGTTTCTGACCCGTCTTGCAATTCGGTCTCTGATGGGCTGGATGCAGTTTTCGGCTGTGAGGTTGGTCCCGTCGGAAACCCATCAATGCACTACAACTCCAGGATTTGTTCCGGAAGAGAATACACCCAAATCTTCTCTGATCCAGCGATTCAAGGGGTGGTGTCTGAGTGGACAAGCAGATTCGAATGACACTACCCGTCCACTGCTCCTCTGGGGTCTTACCCTCGGCATCCTGGCTGACTTCTTGGATATGCTTCCTCCCCACCAGACTGTACAGTTGTGGAAATACCCAACATTTACCGTGCCTGACCTTCGCTTGATTGTAAGCATGGTGACTTATAATCTGCGGAAGCATAATGCACTCAATGTGAGATCGGGTGCTCGTCCTAGTAACATGGCCTCTGATGGGGAAACGACCGCACTCCCAGTCACACAGGAGACGAATTTCGAACATGATCGCAATGAAGTGGGCATCGGTGGTCTCGGAGTGGGAAGATATTATGGCCTGACAGACCGAGCAACAGATGGGACTTCCTATGCTGTGGGGATCATGCTTCGTGGGTATTATGACCGTTTGCGCATAGCAATCTGGGTTTTCCTGGCCTGGCGTGTAGCCATTGGTTCAATTGCTAGTGTTTCAGCCTGGCAAATTCTTCGACGGCTGCGTTGAAGATGTACATTAGCAATATACATTTGCAATAAAGATTTTAATAATGAAGATCTACTAGAGTACATACGACATCACATGTTTCGGACATGTCGGAAATACTTTGTACCCGTCCCGTGCCCACACCTGCCCAGGCATAAATACCAACTTACATAAATAGATCATTCCAAGGTTAGTTAACTACATAAGGTATTATTCGGTCAGATAAGAGAGCAGTCCCCACATCCTTTTTTGGGGGTAAACATTAAACATTGAACACCACCATTTTCGAATTCACCCTCTCCTCTATTATACTCGTCATGGCGGCAGCTCAGAAGCTTTATCCACGAGGGACAGTTAAGCGCATTGTCAAAGCCCACTCCAATCGGAGCGTGAGTAAGAATGCAGACATCCTGGTACACGGTCGTCTCGATATGAAGTCTCTCTATTCTCCAGTGGCTAATGGTAGCTGAATAGATTTTCTTGGACTACATGCTATTCATGCAAGAGTGCGTCTCCCTCTATCCTTTGTCTTGGTGGCTTGGTCTGCCGGTCGCAACCCTCCGATTCGCGTGCTCATCGACGTGATTGAACTGGCCTGGCGATGGGCTAACACATTGTAGGTTAATGCACGAGGCATCGATTCGGTCGCACAAGTCCGGCGAGAAGAACATATCAGCGAATACCGTGCGCAAAGTCACTGAGGTGCGTTGTTGGAGGTTGATCTAAGAGCCTCCCTAGAAGACTCGTGAGGATATACAGCTGACATGGGTTCCTTTAGAAAACACTGCGAAAGTTCCAGGGATAGACAGGCCCAAAATACTATGATCTCAATCCATTCATTTTGGTGAAGACTTGCCTAGCATGGATATGAAAGACGCGGAGATACTGTACTAAGATTGGCTTGCATTTTGTGATATTATGGCGTTGTGGGCGAATGTGGATATGATACCCTGGAGCAATACAATGAAAGATATAATCAAATAACGAATCAGTTGCCTGGTAAATTGCACACATATAGACATAGACAGCGCTGTGATTGTTTAACTCGCGCACTAATAACGCGTAGAGAGTCTGCCCAAAGCCAGTGGGCCACACCGACCAAGAAAGGGTTCCCGTCCCGCATATTGATTCTTCCTTCATAACACCCATCTGTTCTTCAATTCTTCAACGTTATCACGTTTGATTCTTCCTGACCTGTACAGGCTTTTCGGAAATACTTTAATATCTGTGTTACCCACATTCCCATCATGCCTCCCGCTTCCGCTACCCAGAAGCTCAAAGACGAGGAGAAAGGCAATTCCCGAGCTTCAAGCGTTTCCAAGGATCCCGAGAGCCCCAGCTGCGATGGCCAGGAGAGTAACTACTTGAAAGAGCTGCAGAAGTATGTTCGAAACCTCATAAACCTGGTTGTGTGGTCACCTATGCGTAAGTGAAAGCGAACTAACTGTATGCTCCGTTTAGGACCCTTCGCAATGCCGTGAAGAAGTTGGTGAGTCATTCTCGAAAGTTCTTTGGTTTCAATTGTTTTTCCCCATACATTTCTAACGTTACTATTTCTTTGACCAGAACTCCCTCACCAAAGTCGACGCTATCATCGCCGAAAACCCGGATAAGTCGCTTGATGAACTGGTTGACGAGAAGAAGATCAACAACGATCAGAAGGCCCAGGTACTCAAAAAGCCTACCCTTCAGGCTACTATTGCCCAGACGGAAGAGCAGATTGGTCACTACAAGCAATTCGCTATCCAATACGAGGACCGTCTAGTTGCTGAGAAGGCCGCGCTTGTCAAGGCGCATGAGGCGGAGCTCGAAGCTGTCCGTAAGAACGCCATCGTTGATGCGACTGAAGCCTCCAAGAAGGCCCTGCGACAGCAGTTCTATACCGTGACTAAATTTTTGTGCGCCGCGGCCATTCTTCGACGCGACGGTGATGCCGTCACTACTGAGAGTCGTGCTTTCGAGGGTGTTCTGTTCGAAGTGTACGCTGGCAACCAGTCGGCAGTCAATTCGCTACTGAAGATTGCCGAGGGTGCCGATGAGAAGGTCAATTCTGTTGAGGGTACCATTCTTGATTTTACTTGTCAGTAATGAACCCCCCATCTCCAACAAATATCCTTGAATATCCTTGAATGTGCTTGAATGTGCTTGCTGACATAAGGCCTCTTTAGATGGTGATGTGAAGCAAGCATCTGACAAGTTCGCTCCACCTGAGGAGACTACCGAAGTTGCCTCGGAGGCAACCCCTGCCACGGAGCCTACGTCCGATCCCACCATGGCTAATGCTGGACTGACCGAGCTCCAGGATACCTCTTTCGGCGCCCAGGCTGAGCCTGCAGCTTCCCAAGCTGATCAGCTGGCCCCTCCTGCGCAGACTCTGGTTTCCGATGCTGGAAACTCTATTGCGGAGCAAACCTGGGCTCCTACTTCCGATGAGAGCAGTGAATGGGTCAAGCTTCCTCGCAACCCTGATGAGACTGACACCGGCCTCCATGCTACCCCGGCTAGCGCTGATGTGGGTTTGAATAACAGTTCTGTTGGCGCTGATGTTCCGACTCAGGGCGATAACGGTGCCAAGTCTGGTGGACGCCGTCGTCACGGACAGGGAAACCGCGGTGGCCGAGGCCGAAATGACGCTAAGCGTGCTAGTGAGGGCCGAGCTCCTGAGGGCCGTACTGGCGAGGGTCGTGGACGTGGTGGACGCCGAAGCGGTCGTGGTGGACGTGGTCGTGGCGGCGCAAACGGCTCTGGCTCTGGCTCTGGCTCGGCGGAAGCTCCTACTTCCAGCGAGTAAGAGTGGCAATCCTAGGATGTCAGTTGAAACCTGCTGGTTTGGGGATTATGTCTCGAAATTGGTGTTCCAACAAGAGATTTCTGAGTCTGTTTTCTCACGACTGACCTCAGCAATGTCTGATCCGATGTGATGGCTCACGAACGCAACGAATTTTCTTCACGGAGAGTCACTTTGATCTCTTCGTCTGGCTTTGCCAAAGTCTTCTTGACCCATGTCCTGCAATTTTTTCAGCGTGCATATTTCTGATCTTCAGAGAGCTTCTCTCACGACATACATATGTATTCTATGGTTATTGTTTTATCGGCGCTTTTGAACGGACCGGTGGACAGGCTTAGGTCTGGCATAGATCGAAATTGATCATAATGAGTGCACCATTACTTTCTAGGATTTGCCCTAAATAACAATATCTTTCAATTGGGTCACTTTCATTTGACAGAACAAGGTCTACTATTTGAATATGTGGACGATGTACAAAGTAGAAGTTGAAAGACAACCTAATAAGTATATAATGTCACGTGATACACTCACTGCAGGTTTCTCGGAGTTACCCCTGCTCAGCGTAATGTAATAATGTGTAATATCATTACTCCGTACACAAGATTCCATCACGTGCGGAGAAAGTAGTACCTACTCTGTACTATGCATGACATAATGAAAATAACCAAATACGCTCGGAGGCGTGTTCTTTTATTACTAGTGTATCTTTTGGATGAAACCCGTTTTCAGGGCAGGGCGCTAACCACGATAGGTAATGAACCCCGACGCCCAGTGGAGCTCCTAGCGTGTATTCAATCTGATTAAAATCATCTTGTACTCTTTCTCTTGTACAAGTGTCAACTTCTCAAAATTCTTGTCATTCTGCACATTTTTCCTTCTGATCTCCCCCGTCCTTATATCTTTTATTGTATATACGGCGCCAGCAAGAATGGCTATCGCTGGCGCCCAACGTAAGGAGGTGCTAAAGGTGATAATATTCTCTTTATTGATCGATCTAGTAAGACCAAGATACCCCTCTAAAGCCAACAGTCACATTTACTCAAACTAACAATGCCATTAGATCTCCTTCACATTTATTCTGCCCCTCTTCCCTTCCTTGCTATCATTTTATCACGCCCAAGATCCATCCCCGGATTCCCTCCTTAACCGCATCTTCCACTACCTAAACGCCTACAAAAACTCCTTTGCGCGCCCCATCGACTCGCGCTATGACATCGCACTCCTCGGTGGAGCCCTCGGTTCTTTATTCTCCCTCCTCCAAGCCTTCGCTGCACCCGTCATAGGCCGCCTATCTGACCGCTATGGCCGCCGTCGTGCCCTACTCATCTCTATGCTAGGCAACCTCTTAAGCGTCGCCATGTGGGTGTCGGCCAGGGACTTCCGCACATTCCTCGCCAGTCGCATTGTCGGCGGCCTAAGCGAGGCAAATGTCCAAATGGCCAATGCCATAGTGGCGGATATAACAAACGAGGAGCGCCGCGGCTCCTCCATGGCATTAGTTGGAGCCTGTTTTAGTGTCGCGTTCACTTTTGGGCCGGCGCTGGGTGCGGCACTCAGTAGTATTGATATGGTTGCTGAGAACCCATTCATCGTCGCTGCGATTGTGTCTTTTGCTCTGATCTTTATTGAGACTGTGTATCTTTGGGCCTGTTTGCCTGAGACGCATCCCCGTTTCACGACGCTTCAGATGGAGGGCGAAAGTATCTCCGCCGAGAAGAATGATGCCTCGAGTAAGAAGAGAGAAGAAAAGAGCAGTGCTTCCACCAAGCGTGCCCATACAAACAGCCCGGCCCTTCTCAATGCCCTCCATTTCCTCTTCCTCCTCCCCTTCTCCGGTCTGGAGTTCTCCCTCCCCTTCTTGACTACAACTCTCTATGCGGGATCAGCTACGACTGTCAGCCCTGCCGCATTAAACGGACGTCTCTTATCCCTGATGGGCTTGGTCGCCTCTCTCCTTCAGGGTACGCTGGTGCGCCGTCTTCCGCCACTGATCACCCTCCGCGCCGGTATCGTGACCTGTACCGTCTCATTCTTCTGTCTTGCTCGCGTTTCTTCGCCCTCCGGTCTATATGCTGCCGGTGCTCTGCTGGCGGTAACAACTGCTACAGTTGTCACATCACTCAACAGCCTGGGTAGCTTCGAAGCGCAGGACGCAGATCGCGGTGTGGTTATGGGCCGCTTGCGGGGATGGGGACAGGCTGGTAGAGCGGCTGGTCCTATTCTGTTCTGTTCTCTGTTTTGGTGGGCTGGCCGTGAGGTTGCTTATACTGCTGGTGGGTTCGCCATGTGTGTCGTTACAGTTGCTGTTTTCAGCTTGTTGAAGTCGCCTGTTGTACACAAAAAAACCGAGTAATGTACATAGTTACACAGAGAAACATTGCAGGAAGCATGCTTAATATAAAGATGATCCTATACTATCCCTCTTTTTCAAACCTTCCGAGAGAATAGTATCAGCCTCGACTCTTTTAAAAACTCAAATCATTTTCGCTTTGAAGTTATTACCTTATTCTTCAGTCTCCTAAGACGCCAGAGTGAATCATGAAATGAATCCCGAAACGCATAGGCGCCATGACTTTCAGCACTTCCCTAGAGTTGACGGGAGGATGAGAGGTGATTTTATTATTGGTTTAGTTTATTGAGTACATGGTATAATACATAGAAGAGTGGCGATAGTATTCGTCAAGGATGTCAGTAGACAGAGCCTTGTGAAAGAGAGGAGTTCAAAATGGCCCATCGTTCGGCACTCATAACCACATGCCGTTGCGCCTTGAATCAAAAAGAGATTCAACCAAAAAGAAATACACAATACCTCGAAGAGTTAGAAAAGAATACATAAACACAGCGGTCATTGTACGTTCTTTTATTGCCTTCGGGGTTTTTTCTTTTCATTTAATAAAAGATTCACTCGAGAAATGATCGAATATGAGGGTGCAGTCACGATCTCCGGCCATTGCCAGAAGCAAACCCATGATTTTCAGAAGTCACCATGGCAAGTCCAGCATTGACAGCCGGGTCCAATGAGCCACGCGCTTTGCCAATGAGCCAGTCAGTGAGAGTCACGAATTTAGCAGTCCGGTCCCAACCGTCCGCTTCATCGGCATGCTCAATAGTATGAGTCAGGATGCGACCCTCCTCATCGAAAGAGAAGATAAAAATACCGGTGAATTGCTCTTCTTTTGACAGCTTGAAAATCGGCTCTTCACCACCGAGAAGGACACTCAAGCCTTTGTTGGTGCCGTTTGTTGAAGCCGAGAGATGGTTATTTTCTGACGATGGCATAGTTTTCGAGGGGTTTGTAGAATTGGCAGTCGAAGAATCTGGGCCATGGAAGGGGCGGCTGTCTGTTCGTGGCTCTGTCTTCCATCGTACTAGTAGGCGCTCATCGCCACAGTCGTGGTGGTCGCCGTGATGTGTGGGGTCGAGCAGCGTCCCGGCGCGTACGATCCTTTCGCTGAGAATTTGTAATTTCACATTGCCAACTAGTGGCACGCTACTCCAGGCTACCGGGACAGTCCATAGTGCTGCGCGATAGAGGGTGCGTCCTTTGACAGTCGGGAGGTGTGGATGTGTGGATGGGAATAGGTGAAGGTTGACACTCGGGGCGAGGATGTCAGTAGGTAAGGTGTTGTACAAGAGGGTCGGTAAGAGGGGTGAGAGGGTTCGTAAAGCTTCAATCGTTAGTTGGATGACTTTTTTCAAAGTGAATGAGGAAATAGTAAGTACACACTTTTTCCGAGTTTCAAAGTTCTTTCATCTGGCGGTTTGTGATGTGTTCTCCGAGAACCTTCACGGTCCTCCCTCCGCACCCAAGCTGGGGAGAAGTATGTAGTGGGTAGAGGTGTAACTGAAGCTGGACCTAACCAGGGCTCATTGAGAAGGCCATGGCGCGGTTGCGCTAGTCGCTGTCGCGAAACCGAAGCAAAAAGCCGTCCAGAGACAGGACTCTTCGGCTGATTGGGAAGAGACGTGCGCAGAGAGACCAAATTCGGCATTCTGCATTTCAGAAGCAGTCCAGTCCTAATATATTGCCTAGGTGTCAAGCCATGTAGATAAGTTGAAGGTTGAAGTTGTTCGGGGTCGCGGAGTCGGGAAGTCGGGGAAATGACGTTGCAAGAGCCAATCACGATGCTCTGGTATACAATTTTATACTTATATTCACTACATAGTACATACAATTTATGACAGCTCTATAGTTTCCCAAGTCTACAGGTCTATAGACGTAAATTCTAGTGACCAATTTAACATATTATTCGTAAGAATTCCAACCTTAAGCCAGTTCATCATCGTCTCCCATTCCCATGACACGTTGTTCAGCCAAATCGCGGATCTTGTCCTCTAAAACACCACGTCCATAACGCTGTGCAATCTTAGCGGCCGCTTCCAGCATCTTACCGTTGCGGTCTGTCATCAAGGCAACCAGCTCCAGCGCCTTCATACCACGTTCCTCGCCTTCCCTGCATTCGATGGCCAGCATCTGCAGCAAATTCTTATCCAAGTCGAGCTCCCTCCGCGCCAAGTCAGAGCGCTGGCTTGCCGTCGCATTGGTTGAGGAGAGAAGGTCGCGGAAGAGTGACAAGAGTACGTTTCCACGTACGAATGATTCCTCGAAACGGGCACCCTCGGCTACCGTATCTTCGGATTCGCTAGAATCTTTCGGAATAGCGCTAGCAACCGGGATCTGGAAGTCGAATTCACTGAGCAACGGCCGCGGGAAGTAAGGGCTCTTGTCGCCACCCTTGAGAATGATACAGTGGAACTTGTCTTGTGCGACAGCCACTGGCCAGTATGTTTCTTCTTTCCGTCCTCCTGCGAGACGTGCCAATTGCTTTGTGTCCAGGAGCGGTACCCATCGGGCTTGGCCGGATGTGCGCCAGTGTTGCAGAACTAGTAGGACGCCAGTCGAGTCATATATACAAGGATCCTAATAAGATGGTTAATTCCATATTCAACTCTTCTGTTTGGATGGCGCATACCCCATTATCGGAGAAGAAAACACTCTGTAGCGAAGCCCCTTCCGGAAGCGCGACAATGTCTTCGTTCTGGCAAATCTCGTCGCGTTTAACATTCTCCACCGTGTATCGTAAGGTCGTATGGCCATCAACGCCTATAGGACCGTTTCCGATACTCATAATGTAGTCACGCCAGGCCGCGCAAGTCACGGCTGGACTCTTCTGTCGATACACCTTGTAAGGAGTTCCAAAGAGAGTGTACACCCGAACATAGTCCTTTGATGTCACAGCGACAATATATGAATCACTGAGTGCCAGGGCTTATAACGAGTATCAGTAGGATGATTAAATTGAGTATAGCCCCTTCAAGTCTTACCTTGAATTTGTTCTCCTTCGGGCAATTCAGTCCGCCAGTCCGCCCGCGCAGTCCACGTCTCATGCGGTCGGTAGAAGATAATGGCTGGACTACCATCCGAAGGGTTATTGGCAAAAAGTGTTCCGTTGTCATCTATACTTGATCAGCCAAAATTCCAACACAAAAACACAACAAGGCAGACGGAAAACTCACTCAGACAAGCTTTGTCGTACATATATGGATCAGTGAAGTGGAAGTCTCGATGGGCTTCTCGATCATAGAATTCCACAGTAACAGTGTGGTGTGTCTCCTGGTCCACTGTCCAGACAGCTCCCGTCAAGTTTAGGCCTGGCGAAGTTAGCAAATCCAATTCAATGAAGTTGGAACAAGAACATACAGAGATATCTCCTACTCCCAGCCCAAGGCGTGCTACCGGGTTGAAGAGGCGGGTGGGCCTTGGGCTTTTCAAAACCATAGTAAAGGCGCTTATTACTAGTGCCGCCAAGGTCATCAAGATGATCGTTTGGCCGCTTGCCATACAGATTTAGCTCCTCATCGGCATAGCCAGCCCCATCATCATCCTCGACAAAATCCATCATCTGATCATTTTCACCAAGGATATCATCCAGTGAGTCTGGAGTTCCTCTCCTCGCCGCTCGCTGAATGGCCTCCTTGGACCGGTCTGCCAGTGTGGTTCGCCCAACATTGTTGGAGATCTCACCTAGAGGTCCGGGCAAGATAGGAGCAGCCTGCAGCGGTTTCTGTAACAGAGACTCGTGATTTTTCGGCACAAAGTTATCGTAGATGAAAAGCTCTCCGTCTGAGGTTGTGAACGAAAGCGAGTTCTTGGTCGGGTGCCAGGATAAGTTCATGACGTTTCCAAAGTCGTATCGCTGCAAAATCTTTTGTGTCTTTGCTTCCCAGAGCACAATATATCCATCTGTCGCTGCGGATGCCAGAAGAGATCCGTTCGGGGCCCAGCTCAAGGCCGTAATGTCGCCAGTATGTCCACCAGCAAATGTTTTCTCTTTCTTCCACTCGGAGGTAGAGTAGATAGAGATATCTCTGGTTGCTTCGGCAGAAGCAAATGCAGTACCATCGGGATGCCACACTGCCCTCGATGTCGCCTCGGAATCTGGGTCTAGTCGTCGAATCACTCCATCGAGTTTGCGGACTAGCTCCGGCTCCTCTTCGTGCATGGAGTATATATAGAGGATTCCATCCGTTCCGGATACTGACGCATATCGGCCACTAGGATCGAATGTGACATGTTTCGTTCCCTTGGACTGTTCCCGGAGATACTTGACTTGCGTCATGTCGTCGACTTTCACGATCTTGACTGTGAGTTCACTGGCCCCCCGGTGTTAGCATCCAATCCGCTGTCTGGCACAATCCCTGCAATACTTACTCGCTTGCTACTGCAACCCATTGTCCGTCTCTTGTCACTGCAATGTCCCTGACCGGCAAAGCGCATCGTACAAGCAGGCTTTGCATCTTGCCCAACATAATGTCGTATTTCCAGACTGTTCCATCCTCAGCACCCATGATGAAAGTCCTATTCTAGAAATCCCGTCAGTACGTTTAGTGGATCCCGGGTATTATATTCCAACATACCGTTGCACCAATGCCGAAATGCGCGTCAATACCTTCGTCGATTGTTTTGGGTTCTCCATCTTCGCCGACCGTATAGATACGAATTGCCGAGTTGGAACCACCGGTAATGATCCGTTTTCCGTCAGGTGTGTAGGCCAGTATCGTTGTGCCGGGTGTGTCTATGTGAAAGCAGCATTGTCAGTAACTGTTATATCTCCCGGATCATCAGCATGACTCACGAGCTGGGCGCCCCCGTGGGCGAATAGGATCAAAACTCATTGCAAACGAGGCCTGACGTAGAAAATTCAATCGAATTGCAATAATCAAGTCTGGAGCATCGTTCGATCTTAATCTGGTGGATCACAAATGGCCAGTGATCTACAAGGTCAGACGCGTCCGCGTTACGCGCCTTGATTGGTTTAACCCGATTTGGTAGTATGATAGGGCTCAGGGCTCAGGGTAAGGGCCGCTTTCCCCGGACAATTCGATGGATCAAAGCTGGAGATTGAATGTGAATATAAAATAGATTCTACTTGCTAGCACCTCCGGCTGTTAAGAAATCAAAGTCTGCTCCCTCTTGCGCTTGATTCACCGATCGCTCATACAGCCCGCGGTAGCCTCTCCTCTGCTTTCTTATCAGCGTCTCTCCTACAAGACTCTGTCTGCGTTTCTCAATGCGAGTCTGCAATACTGCCTCGGGTACTTCAAAGTGCAACTTCCTAGTCTCAACATCACAAATAATCAAGTCACCGGTCTCCACTACGCCAAATGGTGACTCCGGTAGCGCAGCTTCTGGCGAAATATGGAGGATAATGGTTCCGCCTGCGGTCCCCGACATTCGACCATCTGAAAGCCGTAACATATCCTTAACTCCTGCCTCTGCTAGCTTCTTTGGAATTGGTATAAGGCCGGCCTCCGGCATACCTGGATTTCCAACCGGACCAATGTTTTTCAGGACCAGCACACTATCCTTCGTCACGACTAGGTTTGGATCATCGATCCGCCGAGCAAGGTCGGCTGAATTCTCGAATACTACAGCTAGTCCGGTGTGGGATAGTAAGTGCCGATACTTTGACGCCGAGGCTTTGACTACCGCTCCGTCTGGGGCAAGATTGCCACGCAGTACAGCCAGAGATGACGCGGGAAATAAAGGGTCAAACATTGGCCGAATAATCTGTTGCGCAAAGGAAAGTCGCTTGGAGTGGGACGTATCGAGAACTTCACCCAAAGTTTGTCCAGTAATTGTCATAGCAGATAAATGGAGCAGGGGGCGAAGCACCTGCAACAGCGTCATCATGCCTCCTGCATTGTGGAAATCATTCATATAGTTATCTCCACTCGGCTTGAGATCAATCAATAGTGGAGTTCTGCGGCCAATCTTCTCAACAGTATCTAAAGTGATGACTCCCTGCAATTCTGGATGCCTATTCGCAATAGCCAACAGATGAACAACGGCATTTGTCGAACCCCCGATAGCCTGGAGCACTGTGATGGCATTCCAGAACGATTCTTTCGTCAAGATTTCTTGTGGCTTTCTCTTAGACTTTGCAATCACAACTGCATTTGCGCCAGTCTCCTCGGCAATTCGCAATCTCGCGGAGGATACTGCTGGTGCAGTTGCGCCCCGAAGCGGCATCATTCCCAACGCAGCAGTCACACAAGCCATCGTACTAGCAGTTCCCATGACACCACATGTCCCTATCTGAACGAGCAGCCATTGAGGTTAGCGAACTACATGGTCCTGCATCTGATGAGAGCGCATCTGCACATACCGTTGGAGCAAGTTCTTCATTAATGGCCAAAATTTCCTCGACGTCAATCTCACTCGCTCGAAAAGCCGCCCAGTTGTTTCGGCAATCAGTACATGCTCCAATACGCTGACCACGGTGGTTCCCTGGCAGCATTGGACCGGTGATAAGTGGTAGGATTGGTTTATTGGCAGAGATGCCACCCATCAACTGAGCAGGGACGGTTTTATCACAGCCTGAAGTCTGTCAGCGGATATTCCCACGTAAGAGGAAACCAATGCTAAAATGGAACTCACCTCCGATCATTATACAAGCATCCAACGGCTGTGCCCGTATCATCTCCTCCGTATCCATGCTCATAAGATTCCGCAAGAACATGCTGGTTGGATGCGAGAATGATTCGGCCACACTGATGGTAGGGAATTCTATTGCCAGTCCTCCATTGAGTTGTACGCCGCGCTTAGCAGCTTCAATGAGCTGTGGCACGTTGGCATGGCAGGGATTGAACCCCGAGAAAGTGTTGATAATGCCCACGATGGGACGTGAAAGGGCATCTTCTGAATATCCGAGTGCCTTAATAAAGACTTTGCGGAGAAAGAGGGAGAAATGAGCATCTCCATAGGATGTCAGACCTTGGCGAAATCCAGATGTGGAAGTGATTTGGGTTGTGAGATCGTAGTCTCCGTTGGGGTCAAGTTCCATTTTGTTTTGTTTTGTTTTCGATTTGAACAGCAGTTCTGTAAAGACTATCGAGGAACTATAACCACCTCAATCCGGCGACTTAGATGATCCCCTCTTCTTAATGGATGGTGTCATCGGTGCAAGGCCGATCCGGATATTAATCCGAGCCGAGGGAGTATATGTGTCCCGGGTGGTTTGCATACAAAATTAAATTCATAAGGCTCTTTATAATACAATGCCATGCAGTGTTTCCATGCAATCTATACCCTCAGCTTCATCTTCACCCGCAACTCCTTAGTCGGTCGGAAAGCCCCCCAGCTAGTCTTGTGCCCTGGAACTGAGAGGAATTTACCACTTGTGGGCTCAATCTCCCATAAGGCCACGATACCAGCAGTGAAAGTCAAGATAGCTCGCTCGGTAAATCCATTGTTTGTCGGTCCATATAAACCGTCCGCAAATGGAGCAAGGATGCTTGGATCAGCCCGTTGTTTTCCCGTTGCAGGATCAGTCACGAGAAATCGTAGTGGATCATACTGCTCCGGGTTTGAGAAGTACCGAGCATCGTGGTGATAGGCACCATGGGGCACAATGATATCTTCGCCCTTTGCAATCTTGTATGTACGGGGCTCCGTCAAGCCATAGGCGACTTCTTCTGCCGACTCGGAAAGAGTCACATCGGACGCCAGCTTCTTAAATGAGATTCCTGCTGAATGAAGACGTACAGCCTCATAGTAACATGCTTTGAACAGCGGACAAGATGTGAGTACCTTTTCAATATCCAAAGAGAGACGAGGAGGTTCATCGAAGGGGAAGCCCGTTTCCTCACGAGTCGGTCTGGAGGCCACCACGTAAAAAGCAATCTCTTTTCGGACTTGATCGAGAAGGGAAGTTTCGGCAAAGAGATGAGTAATTGTCCAAAAAGTGACCTTTGTTGTGTGTTCAATCAGATCATAATACAGAGATAAGTGCCCTGCAGCACTGGCACCTGGAGATAGCTCCAATTTGCGGAAAGTCCGCATCCTATCTTTGACCAGTTCGGAGACATCTTCAAGATCACGCAGTTCAATGCCGGCGTCAATACCATCGTCCCAAGCAGTAAAAGCTCGATGGAAGACCGAAAAGATATGGCGAAGCCGGTCACTCGCTGCATGCCCTGCTGAAGCCGCTGGATGCGGGGCCCAGCGAGGAACGCCGGCGAACAATGTCAGAAAGCAATCGTCGACTCTTCCAAGATCTTCTGAGAGATTAGGGAAATTCTCCACGAACGCATCACCCATCAGGAAAGTAGAAGTGATGTGACCAATAAAATTGCTCACAAGAGCAAACAGATTGGCCTCGCAGACTGTCTGATCCTCTTCATCGGGAACTTCAACCCCACTGATTCCACGCTCCCAGGGGTATTGGTCAACAACGCTCCGACAGAAGCTCACCAGATTCGGCATTTCGCGCTGCACCAACCGGGCAATAGCAGATGAAGCTTCAGTGACAAAAGCCTCTTCGTTGAGAATGGTAGAGGCCTTGTCATTAACACCTTGGTTACGATCCAAATCCAGATTGCAGATGAGGCTGCGGTCGCCAAAGACATTTTGCAGAGCCTGATCGAGAGCCTGGTTGTTTGGCTCAGCAGCTTTGGCAGAGAAAACAATCTTCATCATAGATGGAGAAGCCACAGCATTGTACTTCACACCTCGAAGGTAAATGCCAAAGACAGGCTCATCCATAGATTCTCTATAATCTTATTAGTAGGCATGTAAGATGGCAATATAGTGGGAAACAAACCGAGTTCTTGTAAAGAAAGTGACATGGTTCCATAATAAGGCAGGACCATGTCCAATCCAGGGAAACCAATAAGGTGTTAGTCGCACTCTTTGCGATTTTGAAGGGCCTTGCTCAAGTCGACTTTGAAGCCCCGAGATAATCCGGGTTGTGATGCATACGACCACCACAACAGTAAAAATTGTTGACCAATGTATACCGAAATATTTCTCACGGAAGGCCTGTATAAGCCTCAGGGCTTCATACCTCTCCATTGTGGTCGAATCAATGTTGCCCAAAACAGACCCCGTCATGTAAGAGACCGCAGTTTTACAGTGCACCCACTCGAGGGGTCGAGTGATGTGGGAGGGTATAACAGACAATAAAAAATCCGAATTGACTCACTTCTGATATTTTCAAATTAATGATCCTAGGTGAAAGGTGAAGGGACACGATGGCAAACAGAGGCTGGGGTCCACGGGTCTCATCTTCTGGCTTACTAATCGCCTGGGCAGCTGGGTTCTACAACATATTTTTTGTTCATGATTTTTATTGATTTGCAATATTTTCAAATTTGACTGTGATTTCTTTCTATATACGGAGACATGATGGGAAGAGTCAGATCAAAGTGGGTACATGTATCACCTGGTTTGTGTTTTTACCTCCCTGAGACCAACGACAGATCTACAGGTGATAAATTTGAACTTGTAGAATAGCTGTTCTATGAATTAATGAAATAAAGAGCGGAATTCAGTACCATGGTGTGTCGCGGCATAATATTTGACTTGCTTATAATTACTAAATCAAATTACTAAATCAAAGGTGATGAATGCAACGCTGCCAGTAATGGAGTGATTATTGGGATGGGATAGCTGAAAGCTCAATTCTCCTTCTGCAAACCCTTTGTCAATGCAGCACTTTCACCCTCATACTTGAGAATCTTCGATTGAGATCCGTGAACTTTGCGCAGAAGCCACTCAATCCGCGATGTTAGCTCCCAAGGGTATTTGGGGAGCGAGCCAAGGACCTGCAGCTCCTCCTCATACTTCGTGATACTTGAATTCTCGTTGCTGATGAGCTGTGAGAGAATTAGCAAATCAAGGCGGGCCTGCAGGGTCTTGTTCGCAACCAGACGTTGGAAAGCAGCGCGATACACGGGTTTTCCTGGCTTGACATATCGTGGGAATCCTTTATCGGTTCCGACGGAGATAAGCTCTGCTTGCTCAAGTGCCCGGAGAGTCGCCTCGCCGTTATCCTTGAATATATCCTCGAGGAGGACTTTGGTGTACAACAGGTTTCCATCCTTGGAGTGCGCGATAGACTTGATCAGATGCCACGCCTGTTCACGGGTCCATTGAGGTGCAATCGACTCTGTTCCAAGGATGAAGATCTTCAGAATTTCAGATGCCGATTGCTCAATAATACGGTCCACGGCAGCTATACAATGGTTAATAGAATTCTCGGGGTAAAGCAAAAGATAAACTTGCCTTCAGGGGTCTCTCCGGCCTCAATCCGATGAGCCATGAACTCCAAGTCAGTAACTCGACCACCCAGCACTTTGATACAAGAATCTAAGCCACGAAGTGTCTCTTTGCGCCTTGCGTTCTGTTCATCGTCACCATCGCCTGCCTCTGCATCCAGATGACTCAACACGAAACGACGACCAACTTCGAGAGAACAGTCACCTAAAGCAATTGTGCGGAACACTTGATTAGGCATGGCTTTGCTCAATGGTTTTGCAAAAGAGGAATCAGTCGTCAAAAAGATGACATGGGCAATGTTTGCGGATGTCAGGCCAGCCGCCCATTCGGTAAGTTTGTCGAGCACGACACTGTCTTCCGGGTCATAGGCGAAATTGTCAATTACAACGACAGGTCTCACTTCGGGATGGGCCTCTAGGTATTCATCTTCGGACATGTTGAAATCTTTGTCGTCCTTTCGTCTACCTTCCAGGGCGACTCGCTTCATGGCGACACCAGTATTCTGCCAGATCTTGCTCAACTGCGCATCTAGTGTCTCAGAGAAGCCAGCTTTGGTACCAATCATTCCTTGTGCAGCAAGGTCGATGAAGCTGCTGATGCTGTTCATCCAAGAAAAGATAGGCCGGTAACCGACCTGAGCAGCTGCTCGTGAGATCTTGGCTGTATCACCCCGAGCATCTTGAATTTGCTTGCAGTCAATGATGACCTTATACTTGTGCTCTTTCAGAGCTTGTTCCAAAGTCAACTCGCGTTTCCCTGAGCCCCGAGGACCATAAATAACGATAAAGGTCTCCGCAGTCTCCGTCAACCAGGCTCTCAGTTGCGAAATCTCTTTTTGTCGGTCTTCCCAGATGGCCGCCAGGCCTCGCGGATCTGACTTTCGTTTCCCAAATGAGAACATGTTCGCTTTGCTGGCTTGTTCTCGAACCCACTGCAGGACTGTATTCTCTCCACTCTGGAACGAGGACTTGATTTTGAGCGTGATAAAGAATGTGCGAATTGGATCGAAGATAATGACCGTTATAGTAGCTATTAAAGCAGCTATAGCAGGGATTACTAGCCTTGGATGATTCAAAATCCAATCCTTAATCATAAACAGCTTGATCTTGCGCTCATAGTTGATCTTGAACCTTGTACCGGACTTGCCACCGCCTCCTTCTTCGGAAACAATAAATCCGTGCATGCAGTTTCTTGCCATCACAGCGAATCGAGGGCGCTCGAATCGCAGAATTGCATATCGTGGTTCGACCTTCGAGTCTGAGGGCTGTGTTTGGATATCCAGAAGTTTTCCATAAGGTCGGAACAGTGAGTATAGGGTCTCTTGGGTTAATTCGGCCGCTGTGTTGTCTGGTGAAGTTGGCAAGAATTCCACCTTTAGGGTCTGGCTTGGGATTCGATAGAGGTCTTCGATCCACGGTGTTCCACGAACAAGGTCTGCATCGACTTTCAGGATTGGATTGAACCAGGGTTTGACGGGATTGGTTTTGAGATGTTCCTTGATTGCATTCTGGATACTCTCATTACTGACATCCGACTTGAGCGCATACTTCACGAATGCGCCTCCCTCTTTGTATCTCGTCACGACCTCTTTGATCTCCAGATCTAGATCTTTAGGCAAGGCTTGCTGAACAATACGAGTCGGGTCAGCTGCCGCTAGCTCTGGGCTGTTGGCTCGTGCTACAATTCCCTCGAGAGGCTGAATGTGGCTGAGGGGTCCCCGCAACAGCCATTGTAATCGGTGCGGAAATATATCTAGGGTTAGTTAGTGGGTAGACATGATAGTCTGCAATGAATTGGCGCTCACTGTTGACATAGATAATCCCTTCGTTTTCTCCTACTGAGATATGTCCCGATTTGATACTAGAAGATGTGCATCGTATCGTTGAGCGTCCCCAGAGCGGAGGTCTCCACCCCCGGGAAGCATTGGCGCTTATATGAGAGTGTGTCGGAGACCGAACGGCCAATGGGCCTCTTGATAAGGGTAGTGATCTCATTCTGGTCACAGAGACATGCCGAATAGAGAACAAAAAAAAAAAGGTTGGGAAGAGCGATCAAGTTGTTTTAAACGTGCCAAACTAATGACGTCGATTTGTGATAAGATCACCTCCAAGTCACATGACTGACATTTTGATCACTGGCGAAAAAGATAACCTCACGATCTCAAAGTATCGCGATAGATCCACCAATTTTCTCCTCTTACAAATCAAAATGGGCTGGCTGTGGGGATCAAGTCTCAAGGACACTCCCAAGGATATTCCATCCACAATTCCTACGGAACCAGCAAAACAGAATGCACCATCGAAGACCTTGACCCCCGACGAACAAGCCGACTTGGAATTCAACCAAATTCTGGCCGATCTCAGAGCCGAGGATGCATCGCTCTCAAAGCGAACGGGCCTGACCCCTGATAGCCATCCACCGTCAGAATCCCAACTACCTTCATCACCTATCTCTCCCGAGTCTCTCTACCAAGATACCATGTCCTGCCGCAATGCCTTCGACTACGCCTTTTTCTGTCAGTCCTTTGGAGGCCAATTTGTGAATGTTTACCGATATGGAGAATTACGGTCATGCAGCGATCACTGGGATAACTTATGGCTGTGCATGAAGACACGAACTTGGCCGGAAGATTTGCGCAGGAGAGAGATCCGAGACCACAACCGGAAGAAGTCGATTAAGTACAAGACGGGTCCCAGCAGTGAGGATGTCTGGGATGTGCGGCTAGACCCAGCTAAAGAGTCATTCAAGGGAGATTTTGCCGCAATGTGGCAAGAGATGAAGGCTGAAGATGAAGCAGCGAAACAACAGGCTGAACAGGCGGTTTCATGATGTCCCTTCTTGTTTCCCTCTTCTCTCCTCGTTACGATATGTATATATACACCATTTTGTTTCATTGACTCATGTATAATATGATACTCTCCATTTCCCCTGTGATGGTCATATGGATGACCCAGCAGATCTACATATAGCGCTTTAGAGGCTGTTTCTTGTGACATTGTATGCTCTAAATTTCTTGAATATGTCTTTATGCGGGCTCTATAATTATGCTCCACGATCTATAAAGTTCTACTGAAAGGGGAGAATAATGCCGAAATAGATTAATTGATTCACAACGCCTCAAGAGATGCTTCAAGAAATGCCACATTGACCTAAAAAGAAATTTAGTAGAAGGACTCAGCAACGATTTCAAAATCGATAGACACAAAATACATGTCTCGGGATATGAAAGAGGAACCGAATCCTACTTACCCCAATTCGTTCATTGTGACGGGCATAGACTGGGAAGCTGTGGGTAGCCGCCGTACACATAAAGGCCTAACTTCACAGCAAGCTTATAAGACCTATTGCCAAGAACCATTCGACAAGTTAGCATTCAATGGAAGACAGGTAACCAAGGTGATGTTCTCCAATTCTTTAGTTTCTCAATCCAGGATTTCATTCTGTTATTCTACTCATCTTCCTCCTTTATACGGTGGAGCTGTGTCTTGATGTGCTTCCTTACTCGATCTTCAATATCCGCAATCCTAGCAATGACGGAACTGTTGGTGCCCGTGCTGCGCGTAGAGGAGGCCATACTAGCTACAGATGAAGAAGTGACCTTTCGCAGAGTGACAGTCTCAATCCCCGGATCGGCATCGAGGTTCAACTTCTTGCTGAGTCTCTTTACCTTGAGGCTAGTGGGATGGTCAACAGTGAGCTTGGCCATGGCGGCAGTGATATTGGCAACCTCAGCTGGATCCGACGCAGCAGCTGGAGTAGATCGGCCAGACACGTCCCTGGGATGGGAAGTGGGAGGCCTGGCGCGACCTCCGGTCCCTATGAAGTTTTTGTGCATCTTTGTTCGGAGACTAGCCTCAACACTCCTACCACGCCCAGATACTCGGCCCTCATTATAGTGACGGATGGAACGTCGCTCGCCGTCGACCTTGCGGTCAGTGATGAAGCCGTTTGGGTTGAGGTCGCTCGCGGCCTCGGTTGTCTTATTGGCTTCGCTGGCCATGTGTGCGACGGATAGGACCTGTAAACCTGTAAAATGGGTAAGCTGCTGGATATTAGTTAAAATGAATAAATGGAATGGAATGACCCGAAAAAAAGCAAGGGATATAAGGACGATTATATAGTTGAGCTATCAGCCCACACATATCTTAGCGGAAGTTACCAAAGAAAAGAAGCAGAAAGGCATTGTTGACACTTCAGTTCTTTGTTCTTTCACACAAAGACATAAGAGATCCTCAGAAGAAAACGAGGTATCTAGCTTTATAGATGAATTTGAAATAATGATAGAACATAGTCGGATTTGCAGAAAAGCTATGTACAGTAGAAAAGAGAGATTATCAAATGGCAGACGCTCTAAACACCTTGCAAACTCGGGGGTAGAAAAAACAGAAGAGGGAAAACAAACGCTGAAGCAGAAGCAGAAACAAAAACAAAAACAAAACAAAAGATGAAAATCAATAGAATAGAATAAAATGTAGAGAGCAAAATTTAAGAGAGCGCAGCACTGGAGGCTTTTTCATTCACGCAGAGAGAAACAACCCCATGGAATCCCGTCTAAGTCACAAGCTTATCCCATCTGATGAACTTTTCCCCACCAAACTGAAATTTTTATCGTGATAATGGCCGTCAAAGTCGTAAACATGCCCTATATCACCCGATTAAGCAGCAATCTCAGTGGGCTGGGGGACGGAGTCAATGGCAGGACGACGGACGATACCACCGGTGACTGGGAGCTGGGAGCTGGTTCCGCTGAGGAAAGTATCCACCTCGCGAGCACACTGGCGACCTTCGTTGATACCCCTGTTGTTATATTAGTAGATTTCTAGTTATAAGAATTAGATTAAAAAAAAAAAAAAAAACTCACCAGACAATCAAAGACTGTCCACGGCGACAGTCACCTGCCGCATAAACACCAGGAATGTTGGTCGAGTAATGGCCGGGAGGAGTCTTGATGTTCTTGCGAGGATCAAGCTCAATCTGTTCACCTAAGACACGATCCTCGGGGCCCAAGAATCCCATAGAGAGGAGGACAAGGTCAGCGGGGAAGAATTGCTCGCTGCCCTCCACAGTCTTCATATCCCATCCGCCAGTAGCGCTCTTTGTCCACTCAACTCGGACAGTGTTGATGCCCTTGACGCAGTTTTTGCCATCGTCGACGAACTCGGTCGACATGACACAGTACTCACGCGGGTCCTTGCCCATGTGCGTCTTGACCTCGGTGTGACCATAGTCGACACGGTAGATACGAGGCCACTGAGGCCAGGGATTGTCGCGGGCACGCTCTGGGGGAGGCTGGGGCAGCAACTCGAAGTTGGTCACCGACTTAGCACCGTGACGGACCGAGGTACCAATACAATCGTTGCCAGTATCACCGCCACCGATGACGACGACATGCTTGTCCTTAGCAGATATATATTCGCCATCCGAAAGACCAGAGTCGAGGAGGGACTTGGTGTTCTTATGCAGGAACTGCATAGCAAAGTGTACGCCATCCAATTCGCGACCAGCGACTTTGAGATCACGCGCAACAGTGGCACCAGTGGCAATAATGACAGCGTCATTTGTGGCACGGAGGGATTGTAGAGAAACCTCGCAGTCAGGGCCAACAGCAGTGCTCGCAACGAACTTGATACCTTCAGCGGCCATGAGGTCGATGCGGCGCTGGACAACCTTCTTGTCAAGCTTCATGTTGGGGATACCATACATGAGAAGACCACCCATTCGATCTGCACGCTCGTAAACGGTGACACTGTGACCAGCGCGGTTAAGCTGATCCGCAGCAGCCAAGCCAGCAGGTCCAGAGCCGATGATAGCAATGGTCTTGCCAGAACGAGTCTTAGGAGGGCATGGAACCATCCAGCCCATCTCAAATCCACGGTCAATGATCGCGCATTCGATGGATTTGATACCAACGGGGTCTTCGTTGATGCCTAGAACACAGGAGCCTTCGCAAGGTGCAGGGCAGACACGACCGGTGAACTCGGGGAAGTTGTTGGTCATGAGCAGACGGTTCAAAGCATCTTGCCACTGGCATTGGAAAACCAACTCGTTCCACTTAGGAATGATGTTAGAGATGGGGCAGCCGGTGTCGGACTGGCAGAAAGGAACACCACAGTCCATACAACGGGCAGACTGGTACTTGAGCTCATCCTCGCTGAGACGGTGGGAGATCTCGCCCCAGTCGCGAGTACGGGTTGTCGCGTTGCGATACTTTTCGCTGCGGCGGCTGTACTTCATGAAACCTCTTGTTTTGTCCAAGATCAATGCGGATCGCTTCTTCTCGGTCTTCGAATCGCTAATGCTGTCTTCAATATCCAGCAAGTCTATCTTTTTGGAATCCTCGGTCTTAGCCTTCTCGGCTTTGATCGGAGTGCTGGGAAGCTGAGGAAGAGTGAATTCGGCCTTCTTCGCAGCCTCCGCCTTGGCAGCCTCTTCCTCCATGACGCGCTTGTAGTCGGTTGGCAGAACCTTGACGAAGTGGGGAAGAGCACGAGTAAAGTCGAGCAGGATGCGAGCAGCCAACTCGGAGCCAGTGTAATGGTGGTGATCTTCAACCAACCCACGAACAAAGGCAATCTCGGATGGGTCTTCAATACTGGAGATCTCAACCATCTCCAAGTTGACCTTGGAATGGAAGTCCTGATTCTTATCCAGAACATAAGCAATACCACCAGACATACCAGCGGCAAAGTTACGGCCAGTAGGTCCGAGATTGAGTACACGGCCACCAGTCATGTACTCACATCCGTGGTCACCAACACCCTCAACGACAACAGTGGCACCGGAGTTGCGGACAGCAAAACGCTCAGCAGCCATACCACGGAAGTAGCAAGTTCCGCGGGTGGCACCGTAAAGACAGGTGTTACCAACGATGACGTTTTCCTCGGCCTTGAATGCGGCTCCACGTGGGGGATAGACGATAAGACGGCCACCAGAGAGACCCTTGCCGACATAGTCGTTGGCATCACCCTCAAGCTCAAGGGTGACACCGGGGGCGAGGAAGGCACCAAAGGACTGACCCGCAGAGCCCTTAATGTTCGCGTGGATGGTATCCTGTGGAAGACCAGCTTCGCCATAACGTCTGCTGATCTGATAAGAGAGAGTAGCACCCAGAGCACGGTCGGTGTTAACGATATCACACTCAATTCGGCAGGGTAAACCCTTCTCGAGAGCAAGCTCCGATTCAGCAATCAATTTATTGTCCAAACGGGTGTGAAGGCGGTGGTCCTGCTTGCGAACATTGTAGGTAGCGACCCCAGGGCGAAGTGAGTGAGCGGGGGTCAAGATGAGTGACAGGTCGATTCGTTCCTGCTTGACATTCCGAATGTCGTCCCGGACTTTGAGCAGCTCAGCGCGACCGACCATCTCGTTGACTGAGCGAACACCGAGTTTGGCCATGATAGCCCGCATCTCGTTGGCAACATAGTAGAAGAAGTTGATAACATGCTCCGGCGTACCCTTGAATTTCTGCCTCAGTTCAGGATCCTGGGTTGCGATACCAACGGGGCAAGTATTTAGGTGACATTTCTAAGGGAGAAAAATATATATTTGTTAATAGGCCGCTCGTTAGGAAATCAGACAGTGGATATGTACTCACTCTCATCATAATACATCCTAATGCGATCAAAGGAGTTGTGGCAAACCCATATTCTTCCGCTCCAAGCAAACAGGCGATGGCAAGGTCACGGCCGGTACGAATTTGGCCATCAGTCTGGACCACAACACGACCACGAAGATCGTTCAAAACCAGGGTTTGATGAGTCTCCGCAAGACCCAATTCCCAAGGAAGACCGGCATACTTGATACCGGTCCAGCGCGAGGCACCGGTGCCACCATCATGACCAGAGATTAAGATGTGATCAGCCTTGGCCTTGGCTACACCAGAGGCGACAATACCAACACCAACCTCAGATACAAGCTTGACGGAGACACGAGCTCGGGGGTTAGAGCACTTGAGATCGTAGATAAGCTGCTTCAGATCTTCAATCGAGTAGATGTCGTGGTGCGGGGGTGGGGAGATAAGACCGACTCCCGGTGTGGAGAACCGAGTGCGAGCAATGGGGCCGACGACCTTGTGGCCGGGTAATTCACCACCCTCACCGGGCTTGGCACCCTGGGCCATCTTGATCTGCAGTTCATCAGCATCGGCTAGGTAGTTGGATGTAACACCGAAACGACCAGAAGCAATCTGTTTGATTGCGGACCGCATCGTGTCGCCGTTCTCCATTCTCTTGCTACGCTCGGCATCTTCACCACCCTCACCAGTGTTGGACTTGCCGCCCAAACGGTTCATGGCAATGGCAATTGTAGAGTGGGATTCCATGGAGATAGACCCGTAGGACATGGCACCGGTCACGAAGCGGCGTACAATTTCGGTCCAAGGCTCGACCTGGTCAATGGGAATAGGGGTTCGCTGGTCAAAATCGAAGTCCAGCATTCCACGCAGGGTACAGTTCTTGATCTGCTCATGTGCGGACTTAGCATAGGCCTCGTAGGACTTGTCGTTCTTGGTGCGAACGGCATCCTGCACGTTGGCAATACTGGTGGGGTCGTTGATATGGGCCTCTCCTCCATCACGCCAGTGGTATTCGCCTGATTCGGGCAGACCAGGAACTTCGACAATTGGACGCGAAGGGTAACCGCGCTCGTGGAAGGCGAAAGCATCCTGGGCAATCAGATCAAATGTGATACCACGGATGCGACTGGCAGTACCCGTGAAGCAGCGATCGATAACGCTGTCATCGATGCCAAGGGCTTCGAAAATCTGGGCACCCTTGTAGGACTGGAGAGTAGAGATACCCATCTTACTCATGACCTTTAGGATACCACCATCACAGGATGACTTATAATTTTGAACAACCTTCTCATCGGGGATGTCCTTGCGGATCAATTTCTCCCGGTTCATCTTGAGGATACATTCCAGAGCCAGATAAGGGTTGATGGCGTCGGCACCATATCCTAGCAGAACACAGTGGTGGTGGACCTCACGAGCCTCTGCAGTTT